GTAGAAGACATGAACTACAGTATATGTTAAAAACAGAGGACATTAAGTAGAGTAGTTATGAAGTATAAAATAAGAGATGCCATTTCAATTGTGATTTGAAATATATTATCAAAAGTGCTTCGACTGAAAATTTAGTTTTTGATAGTTGCCCCGGGTCTTCATGCTTTCTGTTGCTATGGCAACCATAACTTCAACCAATCACATCACTTTGATCTGTAACTTGATATATCAATTCAATAATGTTTGAACATTATTCTGTGCAAGTTTTATGAGGATTGGGTAAAATCTGAAGAAATCCCAGATACTTTTACCTTATTTATTGATATACTTTATAAAACATTTTTATGATAAAAAGGACTGGATCACCAATTTTATCATTTTGGTGGGCTGGTAGCCAAAAACTAAAATAATGAACATTTCCAATAATTCCTTTAATATTTATCGAGATATACTAAGTAAGCATATACTAGTAAGCATGGGCATAGCCATGAGAGTGCAGATGAGGCAATGTTTGAAATTTATTACATATTTTCAGCTAGCACCATCTGTAGAAACAAGTCAAATTATTGTATTATATCTCTAATAGCAAAAATCTGCCTTGCCAATTTTGATTCTGACTTCGTCCCTGCTCAGGAATACACCCCCAATCCCCACTCTAAAATCACAGTACCATACGATACATTAACAATACTGTACCATTGGAGTATGGTGCCGTACAGTGTTCACGGTACTGTACAGTACTGTTTTAGTCTGAGGGACCATACGGTATCATATTTCACTGTACTGTACAGTTTCATTTCCAAAATGGTACTGTATGGTATGTTGCAGATTAACTGTATTAAAGGTAAAACATTGAAAAATGAGTCATACCCTAGGTTTATATTCACTGCCAGTGAGCCTCCTGTCTCTGTGGTACATCCAGTAATCATGTAAGTCACAATCCCAATCTTTTTTACATTTCTGGAACATACAAACAATCAAACTGAAACTAGAACAGAGCAACTCCATGTAAATAAAAATATACTCAAGAGTCAAAAAGCAAATTGTGACCATTGACCCTTGTCTACTTTAGACGAGAGGTGATCAGTAGGCCTAGGGATCATATCTACATACACGTATAGTCCTTTTCAATTGGGCTGTGGGTCAATTAAACCCAAAAATTTACCAATCAAAAAACCATAGCTCAGTGTCACGTGGAAAAATACATTCATATTTTAAAAATGTTTGTATAATAGTTTTTCAGATAAATAACAAAAGTTGTTAAGGAAGACTACAAGAGAGTATGCACATTTTATAATATATGCCAAAGAACAAGTTCTCCAAGAATATCCCCACTTACTTGTGGCATTTTGCATTAAGCATATCCCCCTCCCCCCGAGAACTTAGTCATCAAAATCATCAAGTTGGATTTTTATCAAACTAATTACAGATTTCTCAATTTTTATTATACAATGATCATTCATTAATATAACACCGCTAGTAGATTTAAAGATTTACTGTTGTAGAGGAGTTGTGTATTTGGCATATTTTCTTGAATATTAACATTAAATGTCACAAGCTCTTCCAAACTGCTGCTGAAAAATATGCCATGTAAATTATATTTACCAAAATGAATGTCTCCAAGGCTCTATACCAGCAAATGTATGATTCATTTCTCACGAGTTTGGGCTCACATTTTGATAAAATGAAGAAAGGGCAATCTTCGCCAAGTTGGTTTATTTTGGTTTGATTTTTTTATGGTAAGTGGCAAGTGCTCAGGAGTAAAAATTCATCTTCAATTCATCCAGGTATCCTACTTTACGATTTTGACAACTAAGTTCTGTGGGGAGTGTTGCTTATCAAATGTCAAAAATAAGAAAAATGCAAATCAACCCAACATTTACAGTAAGGGGAGATCAAAGATACAATCGTTTTGCGTGTAAAATATGAATGTATATTTCCATATGATCAGTGGTAGCCCTATTGTTATCTAGTTCCAAGACTAATGGTAATTGTGAGGGTTGAATAACCACCTACGCAGGGCTCTCATCAGGAAATATTTAGGGTGTGGTGCTAACATCTTCAGAATAACCATTCGTGATAAATCATATTTATGTTATGTTTTATCCTTTTTACATGCGATTATCCTATATTCAGTCAAGTTTAGACTGTGGAAACAGTCATGATTTGCCAATAGGTTGTGGAGGGAGCTAAATAGATTGTGGTGCTGCGCCACAGTCTAAAAGCCTGGCGAGAGCCCTGCTACGTCATATTTCAAAAGTTGAAACTGATTGGTTGATTGAAGTGTATTTAACTGCAATTTGAGACAGTCGCATGTTTTTGCTATTGGGAGAATGTTTGAGAATTGATTGAGGTCAGAAACATTTGCATAGCTAGCACCGTTAATTTTTGACTTTTGAAAAATAATGTAGGCTGCTATTTAATATTTAAGTCTTGGAACTAAATAAACCTACTGCAATGAACTGTGGATTTTTATTGCTTATTTTTGGGGTTTTATTGACAAACAACACACAATAGAAATGCCAGCCAAATGCCGAAATGGACTCTCATTCTGTGCAGAATGTAATAGGCTATGTGTATGAGATGCATGGCCAGGGGAAAGTGCAATAAACCACAGTCAGTATGCAGTTATGAATTGCAGCCAGAAGCCCCTGGAACATATCAAAGATAGACAAGGTGGTAATCAATAAACAGAAATTTGAAGAAGCCCAAAGTTTGATCTAAAATTATTGCATGTCAAAGAAGATCAATTAGTAAATAGGAACTTACAGGACAAATGGTTACAGAATATGCTCACTTTTTAGTTGCATTTTTAAGGGCCATCAGCAAAAAAAACATTTTGAAAGCTGAGGGGGCCCAAATGGCATCACCAAAACAAGATGGCTGTGGGTCCGGACAAATTTTGAAATGAGGGAGTTGGCATTAACATGTGAATCAAAGCTTAAAGGAATATTCCTTGCCAGACCCTTTCTCTCTTGATATGGTAGCTATAATCATATATATAGTTTCCATATTTAGCAAAACATGGGAAAATGTTTTAATATGGTCAATATTGATCATTTAAAAATCTAGTGCTTATTTCCAGTGAGCTGCCATCTTTTAAGATTTCTAAGGATTCCAGAGCTGCTGGTCAAAAAGGCATTACTGACCAGTTGCAATGTTATTTTCCTATACCTAGTGAAAAAATCAACTGGTCAGTATCAAAAGTAACCAGATAATGACCAGCTGTCCGACGCTTAAGGCGTGCCCTGATGTCATCAACTCTCAACTGTCTATAACCTTGCCCATAACAGTATAGGAAAGTAGCACAAAATCACTTCTAGACAAGTGATCATTACTTTCTGTGCAAAAATATTTTCAGGGCTTGTCAACTTAGAATAAAAGAAGAGATTTTCAGAAGTATTAAATAAGATACAAAGTTGAAAAAGAATATTTAGCTGGTTTTGTAATTCTTAATAGCTCCTCACCTAATGCTATATGCAAAGTTGAGAGTCGATGACATCACTTCCTGTATGAAATTTTAAAAGATGGCAGCTTACTGGAACTGAGCATCACATTTCTAAGTGATCAAATTTGACCATATCAAAACATTTTCCCATGTTTTGCAAAACATGGCAAGCATATATATGGTTATAGCTACCACATGAGGAGAGAGATGGTTTGGCAAGGAATATTCCTTTAAGATTGCCAGTGTAAAATCTAATTTATATGCACAAAAGTTGAAAAATTTTACTTAGTCAGAGCTCAGTAAGGTCTTTTGTGATTAAGCTGACCAAAATTTACATCCAAAAGTCGATTTGAAAAATCAACTTTTTGACCTTTCGAAGGTCACTGAATGTCAGATTTGAACTCCTGGCAACTTGTAGATGATTTTCAAAAAAAATTTGGTCAAATTGAAGCAAGTTGAAAAATAACTTATTTTTACTGTTTTTTGACGTCAAATGTCCCAAAAAACGGTAAAGATTTGATGCTGACATATATTGAGCAATATGTAGGGAATGCTTTAATCTAGTAATGATTCATTGCAAGAAATGATCAAGTATAAGGCAAACTTTGAGAAACTTGTCAATCACAAAACCTGCCATTGACTTTATACATGACAAAGTTTCCTGAAAATGACTAAGTCCTACTTTTTGTCAAATTTTATAGAGTAAACACCAAAAACTGTAATTCCAAGAGCTTTGAAATCTTCAGAGGACATAAGTTGCATATACAGCAACTATTAAAAGTTAATTTGTGCGGCCAATGTTGACGGACGGACGGACGGACCAACGGATGGACGAACAGACGGACGGACCAACGGACGGACACCTGGTCGATCCAATAGGCTCACTGTGTGAGCCAAAAATACAACAGTGCATGATGACAGGAATTTGAAGAAAAATTATACTCTCCACTGATAATTAAATCATCAAAACATTGAAAAATAGAGTTCCGGACAGTTTTTCAAACTTTGCCATCATTACCAATCAGATGATTGCAGCATTTTGGTGAGAAAGGATTTGGGGTTTGTCCAAAATCGTAACTGCAAACTGACTGTGTAGAAACTGAATATGAATATAGCAAGATATTACAACATTTCTTTCTATATTGAGATTACTACCCTTTCCCTTGGCCTATGTATATGAATATATGATGATCATCACTCTCACCGATCAGGCCAGTTCAGTTGAGTTGAATAAAATGAAATATTTTTATTCTTTGCATTCTCACTTACATGTTTGTTATGCGCAAGCCAGTTTATCCATGGTCCAACAGTAGGTGGTATTGATAAAGCTGCAAAGATAATTGCCGCCGAAGGCAAAATCTCGTACCACATTTCAGGCCTAAATAAAAATCACAACAAAATAATATTATCTTTGTAAAATGGCGTAGATCCGGATACGGAAACTTGGAATTGATGCATTCTGGGATAGAAAACTCCGTGATTTCAAATTTGAAACCCCGCGCTTTCTGGCCGTATATAAACAGTCGTAGCGCCATCTGTGGGTCAGTCTGCCTTTTTGTCGCCCTGTTGTAACAGCTCCGAGAAATCTATCTACGTTATTAGATATTTTAGGATAAAAAGGACAGGGTTGTTAGATATTTTATAATATTCTGATAGCCATGATCATGATATAATTCATGAGAGACTTTTAAAGGGATTGAAAGCGGTATTTAGCCGTAATTGAAGAAATCATTTTGATCTTTATTGTCAGCAAATTTGAAAAACATGGCGGCCATTGCAAGTGATTCTAATGCGCCATTGAAGCTGGTCAGATGGATGCAGTTTGGTATTCTCAGTCCTGATGAGATTGTAAGTTTGTTCCCAATGTAAATTTTGGATAATTTGAGAATAAAACTGTTTTCTCAAGTAAGCAACATGCATTACTGACCTGGTTTAGCATCTCTTATAGATCCCTTACAACATCACAGAACGAAGATAGCCTGGATTCTATAACATCACAGAACGAAGATAGCCTGGATTCTATGCTAAGCGTACCTGCACTAGGCGTGATCTAGTCAACAATTGTGCACTTGTTAAATACATTTCAAATGTGTGTAATCTATTTGTATTACAGAAACGGATGTCCGTGACTGAAGGAGGAATCCAATATTCTGAGACTACGGAAGGAGGACGTCCTAAACTCAATGGCTTGATGGACCCAAGACAAGGAGTCATCGACAGAATGTCTCGATGCCAGACCTGTGCGGGAAACATGTCCGAGTGCCCAGGGCATTTTGCTCACATAGAACTGGCCAAACCAGTGTATCATGTTGGGTTCATGACTAAGACCATAAAAGTTCTACGATGCGTGTGTTTCTTCTGCTCTAAAATGTTGATTGACCCTGTAAGTTGTTTCATTATTTTTTTGTCTATTCATAAGTCCACAATTGATGAACATCAGACATCTATTGAAAGCCCATGATGAAACTAATAAAGTGGGTCCGAGCCATTGTATTTTGATATTCTATCACCAATGGCCACTTGCTTAAACTTTGTTCACAAGCTGTTATTTCTACAATTTGACTATAGCACAGTTGTTATTTGCATACATGGGATAAATACATGGGATTTTCTTAAGAAAGCAAACATGGACAACATTCTCGAAGCAATACTTACTATTGTGTAGGAAAATGTATGATGATACACTAATTTTCACATTTCTTTCTTTTCAGTCTCATCCGAAGATCAAAGAGGTGATAGCCAAGTCTAAACTATTTCCGCGTAAACGTCTAGCTCACGTTTATGACCAATGCAAGGGCAAAAACATTTGTGAAGGTGGAGATGAAATGGAGAAAGTTGGTCAAGAAGATGATGAGGATGCTCTAGGTGGTGGTGAAAAGAAAAAGGTATTCTATTTTCCTTTCCAATAAAACTTACTTCATAACAAATGACTGGTGGTAGATTTTATAGAATTCTAGTATGATATCCGCACCAATGTTGTCCCAAGAGTTTTTGTTGAAGAGTTCTGTGTTTTCATTAACTTTCATGAACAAATTTTCATTGTCACAATTATGTTACAAAATGATCAAAATATACCAATCTTTTTTCATGATTTTTCTCCTTTTCAAGTGGGTGTAAATGAGTATTCAAGTACAAGCCACTTTCCAAAATAGACTCATTAGTGAATTTAAAAGCCTAGTAAAAATCAAACAATGGTAATAAACCGCAACATGTCTATATTTTGTGTCTAGGGTCACAATGGTTGTGGAAGATATCAACCCAAAATCAGGCGTCAAGGCCTGGAGCTAACTGCGGAGTGGAAGCACGTCAATGAGGAGTCCCAGGAAAGGAAAATAGTCCTCACTGCCGAGCGTGTCTATGAGATATTTAAAAGGTGAAATGTCCAAAGTAATTTTAACTGCTGAATATTAAATTTGAGGAGCATAACTGTCCCTTTTGTACCTTGAATTGTCTTATGCAAAAGAAAGATTATACAACTATAATGTTTTAAGTATTGAGAAAACTTGAATACAAATCCTTTTACTTGTTTGCTTCGAACATTTTGGGGAAATTTTTTACTGGAAAAATCAGTAACAGTGGAGTTTAGATATGGGCTATAGAGTAGGTTTTGTGTGAACGTTTTTGTTACAATACACTATACAAAAAAAGAAATCTAATTTTTTTAAATAAAAGTAATTTTAAAATGGAATTGTTCAACTGAAGAAACAATAGTATAAGAAGTAAAATCTGAGACTATAATGTTAATACACTCTATTTTCTTTTCTTCAGAATTACAGATGAAGAGTGCATTGTGCTTGGAATGGACCCCAAATTTGCACGTCCTGATTGGATGATAGTAACAGCATTTCCTGTGCCCCCACTGAGTGTTAGACCCGCTGTGGTTATGTTTGGCGCAGCTAGGAATCAGGTTTGTGATCCGTATGTTTGATAGGATTGGATGATAGTAACAGCATTTCCTGTGCCCCCACTGAGTGTTAGACCTGCTGTGGTTATGTTTGGCGCAGCTAGGAATCAGGTTTGTGATCCGTATGTTTGATAGGATTGGATGATAGTAACAGCATTTCCTGTGCCCCCACTGAGTGTAAGACCCGCTGTGGTCATGTTTGGCGCAGCTAGGAATCAGGTTTGTGATCCGTATGTTTGATAGGATTAGATGATAGTCACAGCATTTCCTGTGCCCCCACTGAGTGTTAGACCTGCTGTGGTTATGTTTGGCGCAGCTAGGAATCAGGTTTGTGATCCGTATGTTTGATAGGATTAGATGATAGTCACAGCATTTCCTGTGCCCCCACTGAGTGTAAGACCCGCTGTGGTCATGTTTGGCGCGGCTAGGAATCAGGTTTGTGATCCGTATGTTTGATAGGATTGGATGATAGTAACAGCATTTCCTGTGCCCCCACTGAGTGTAAGACCCGCTGTGGTCATGTTTGGCGCAGCTAGGAATCAGGTTTGTGATCCGTATGTTTGATAGGATTAGATGATAGTCACAGCATTTCCTGTGCCCCCACTGAGTGTAAGACCCGCTGTGGTCATGTTTGGCGCAGCTAGGAATCAGGTTTGTGATCCGTATGTTTGATAGGATTAGATGATAGTCACAGCATTTCCTGTGCCCCCACTGAGTGTAAGACCCGCTGTGGTCATGTTTGGCGCGGCTAGGAATCAGGTTTGTGATCCGTATGTTTGATAGGATTGGATGATAGTAACAGCATTTCCTGTGCCCCCACTGAGTGTTAGACCCGCTGTGGTCATGTTTGGCGCAGCTAGGAATCAGGTTTGTGATCCGTATGTTTGATAGGATTAGATGATAGTCACAGCATTTCCTGTGCCCCCACTGAGTGTTAGACCTGCTGTGGTCATGTTTGGCGCTGCTAGGAATCAGGTTTGTGATCCGTATGTTTGATAAGATTGGATGATAGTCACAGCATTTCCTGTGCCCCCACTGAGTGTAAGACCCGCTGTGGTCATGTTTGGCGCAGCTAGGAATCAGGTTTGTGATCCGTATGTTTGATATGCTGGGTTTTATTATTCCATCAAACAAAGTTTGGAGGGATATAGGGAACGGCTCTGTACGTACGTCGGTCTGTCTGTCTGTCTGGGTGATAACTCAAATACTGTTGACTCGATTTTGTTTATATTTTGTACACACCTGTCCTATGGAATCAGGTTTGGGATCAGTACTGTATGTTTGATATGCTGGGTTTTATTTTGTTTTCAACATTTTTTACTACATGTAGTAATTATATAAGACCTCTATGAGATGTTTGAAAAAAGGTAAATAGTAGTTGAGAATATAGTTCAAAATAAAGTGTTTCTGAAAACCACCTGATTTATTATTTCATTGACCATTAGAATTTTAAGGGCAGAGTTCATACTATTATTCCAAATGTTTACATTTTAACCTTAATTTTCCAGGATGATTTAACCCACAAACTTGCAGACATCATCAAAGCGAACAACCAGCTGAAGCGTAATGAACAGAATGGTGCAGCTGCTCACATCATAGCAGAGGACACCAAGATGCTGCAGTATCACGTGTCAACATTTGTTGATAATGAAATGCCTGGACTCCCTAAGGTTTGTCTTGAAGAATTTTTCATTTTTGTGTTTGTAGTAAAATGGATATACAAAATAGCAAGATAAAGTTTTGGACATAAAACTTGTCACAAAGTTCCCAGATGTTATGGATGATTTACGATTATATGTTAAAAGTCATAGTTAATCCATACTCACATGTTGTTTCTCAATTCTAGGCTACACAAAAGTCAGGTCGACCTCTAAAATCAGTAAAACAAAGACTGAAGGGTAAAGAAGGTCGTATCCGTGGTAACTTAATGGGAAAACGTGTTGATTTCTCTGCCAGAACTGTCATTACACCAGATCCAAATTTGGGCATCCATCAGGTTGGTGTCCCGAGAACAATCGCGCAAAATATGACGTTCCCTGAAATCGTGACCCCATTTAACATTGACAGAATGCAGGAACTGGTGAGACGTGGGGCAACCCAATACCCTGGAGCCAAGTACATTATAAGAGACAATGGAGACAGGATAGACCTAAGGTTCCACCCTAAAGCCAGTGATCTACATTTACAAATAGGTTACAAGGTACGGATTAAAAAATACAGAACACCTGGCTCAAGATATAAGCACACATGAAAAAGAGCAAAGTGATGTAAAACAAAAACATATGTCAAACTTCTCTTGAATACCTATAAAAATTGTTAATTGTTAATTTATCTATGTATGAATGAATGAGTTATTGAAAAACAACTTTTTGCAGGTTGAGAGACACATGCAAGATAATGACACTGTTATCTTCAACAGACAGCCCACGCTACATAAAATGAGTATGATGTGTCATAGAGTGAAGATTCTCCCATGGTCTACATTTAGGATGAACCTCAGGTACGGCAAGATAACAGTAATCCATAATTTGTCAGAATTGTTTATCATGATAAACTTAATCAACCAAAACAAACTTTATCCATATCATGCTGATTTCACTATTCCAGTTATACCATACATATAATACTGGTTTCACTATTCCAATGATACCACATCATATAATGCTGATTTTACTATTCCAGTGATACCACGCCATATAATGCTGATTTTGACGGAGACGAGATGAACTTGCATCTGCCACAATCTCTGGAAACTCGTGCAGAGATTTATGAGTTGGCGGCTGTGCCAAGAATGATCATCACCCCCCAGGCCAACAGACCTGTTATGGGTATTGTGCAGGACACCTTGTGTGCAGTCAGGAAAATGACCAAAAGAGACACATTTTTAACAAGGGTATGTGGTATACTCTGTGTAAAGTATTATAATGGAAAAGTAATTTCACACTTGAGGTATATTTCACTATTTCACAAAACATTTCCTTAATTCATTGAGCTTTTTCTTAGTCAGTATAAGAAATGGGCCTCTGCCTGCAAAGAATTTTAAATTAAATCTTTACACGTTGCATGACTCCAGAGTCTAAGGGGACCAGGAATCTGATGATTTTTTTAAGGAAGAACGAAGGAGTGTGTGTATGGTTGTGGAAATACCTAGTTACAACTTCTGTGATTGTGTTAGGCAGTTCAGTGATTTGTTTGAATAAGTACAATTCCATAAAGATTTCATTTGCTGATGATCTTTTCTGCAGGCTCAGGCGATGAACCTTCTGATGTTTTTACCAATATGGGATGGACGTATGCCCCACCCATGTATTCTAAAACCCATCCCCCTGTGGTCGGGAAAACAAATCTTCTCATTAATCATCCCAGGACGTGTGAATTGTATCCGTATCCACGTGGCTCATCCTGATGACGAGGATTCTGGTCCTTATAAGTGGATCTCTCCGGGAGACACAAGGGTATGTAATTAGTTCAAAGATATATGTGGTGTGTCATTTAAGATCTATATGTTGCATTTTAATGGTAAATGTGTTTTAATGAATGCTAGAATGTTATATAAAGGAATCATGCAACATATTTTCATTTGAAACTATCATTCAGTACTGTGTGAATCAAGTGCATTAAGCTTGCCATAATTATTTGTACAAAAATCTTCTAACACACACGGAAAAGCAGATATGTGAATGATATCTTGCCCATAACGCATCATAAAAGCCAGATGTAATGTATTTTGGTATTTTACCCATAATGCATCATAAAAAGCAGACATTAATGTGAGACTTCATTTTAGGTGATTATTGAAGATGGTGAGCACATATCCGGAATCATCTGTAAGAAGACTCTTGGAGCATCTGCAGGCTCACTGATGCACATCGTGTTCAATGAACTTGGCTGGGAACAGGCTGGACTATTTTACGGCCACATCCAGACTGTCGTCAACAATTATCTTCTGATAGAGGGACATTCTATAGGTATGTAGAGGGGTGGATCTAACTTGGGGCTTGGTACAAGACAAAGTGGTACAACTATAAAATCTTTATAATACAAATGAAACATAATTTTAGCACTTTGTGTAGGCTTTGCAAAAAGCATTAATAAAGCCACATCAAGTCTTAAATTTTCTTTAATGGAAGCAAATTAATCCATTTACTTCTGCCTTTTCTAAGTGAATCTAATTCTAACTTATGTGTACAATTCCGTTTGAAATGTTTTCTTTTTCCAAAACTTTCTAACTTTCTGTTTTGTAATGTTTCAGGTATTGGAGATACAATTGCTGACCCTCAGACCTATATAGATATCCAGAACACTATCAAAAAAGCCAAGGTTTGTATTTTTAACTTTCCTTTTGTTTTGACATGCAAAATTTTGGAATATAACAATTAACATAATTTGCGACATCTGATCTTTTTTCTGATGAAAATTCAGCTTATTAAATGAAACTGTAGGTGCCAGTTCTTCATAAAACTCTTTCAAAAATGTTCTTTTTCAGAATGATGTGATTGACGTCATAGAAAAAGCTCATAATGATGAGCTGGAGCCAACACCTGGTAACACACTCCGTGCAACCTTTGAGAATCAGGTAAATCGTATCCTGAACGATGCCAGAGATCGAACTGGATCCAGTGCACAGAAGTCTCTCTCAGAGTTCAATAACTTCAAGGCTATGGTGGTTGCTGGATCTAAAGGATCGAAGATCAACATCTCTCAGGTATGAGGCCTCTTATTTTTAATCTAAAAATTATGAATGAGCGCAATAGAAAACTTTGCCAATTCAGTTTAACAGTAGATGAAATTCCTTTCAAAAACACCGTTCTGTGTCATATTTTGAGACAAGTATTGATTTTCAGGTAACATTTCTCTTGTCTTGTGATGTTTCGAATTTTCACATATTTCATGTTCAGTTTCACATTTTCCATATCATGTTTCACATTTTCACATATTTTCCAGGTCATTGCATGTGTAGGCCAACAGAACGTTGAGGGAAAACGTATTCCCTTTGGATTCCGACACAGGACCCTGCCACATTTCATCAAAGATGATTATGGTCCTGAGTCGAGAGGTTTCGTAGAGAATTCATATCTTGCCGGGTTGACGCCATCTGAGTTTTTCTTCCACGCTATGGGAGGTCGAGAGGGGCTTATTGATACAGCTGTAAAAACAGCTGAAACAGGTCGGCCTTTTATTATGTCACCACTAGAATTGATGACATATTGTTATATCTAACTTTTATGTGGATGGTGTTCAGAATTTGGCATCTGTAAAAGATCTGTTGATTGGTCAGTCCACTTCAAATAGCATGGAATAGTTCATCCTGCATAATCATAAAAATCATCATTTGAATCAAATTGAAATTGATATATATTTCACTGCTAGTGATACACATCTTGCTCATAATATCCCATAATTCAATCAAACGTCATCTGTAAATACGAGATAGAAAACCTGGAATTATTTTTTTGCCCAAGATACACATTCAGTATTTTGCTTCTAAAGATACACATCATGCTTATAATAAATAAATACAATTTGATGATAAATTCCACAGGGTATATCCAGCGTCGTCTCATCAAAGCTATGGAGAGCGTGATGGTGAAATATGATGGAACTGTTCGTAACCAGATAGAGCAGTTGATCCAGTTACGTTATGGAGAGGATGGCCTGGCGGGAGAGCGAGTCGAGTTTCAGAACCTGGCCAATCTGCGTGCCTCCAATAGAGGATTTGAGAAAAAGTTCAAGTTCGATGTCTCTGATGAGAAGTAAGATAGCTCACATCAGAGAAATATCATAGTGATCAAAATTTATTAATGGATCTGATTGGGAAAGACAATGATGATTTTTATTAAAATGGGTGGTAATCTAAACTGAACTTATCAGAGAGGTGATATTATCGCTCAGTATTGTCTAATGGAGATCATTGGTCTTAAAGTCTTGGTCTCAAGTGAAAGACAATGTATTCTTTTTTCAGGACAATGAAAAAGTCGCTGAATGAAGATGTCATTAAAGATCTGTTGGCAGATGCCAGAGCTCTGTCAGAGATAGAAAGGGAATGGGAACAATTGAAGGATGATAGAGAAAATATCAGACAAATTTTCCCAACTGGAAACAGCCGAGTAAGTCATTAAATTTATTCAAAGGAACACAATTTAAAATAAAATCATATCTTTGTCGCCTTTTTGTGACCTCAGAGATCTCTGTAGATGGTCCCAAGTTTATAAGCTAGATAAATCATCTTACGTAGACAATGTTTTTTTTGTGGTTGACATTACACTTTATAACTATTTCATTCAGCGTTACCACGTAACTTTTCATTCCAACTGTTGTTACCTTGAAATCATTCATTCAGGTGTTGTTACTTTTAAATCTTTCATTCATGTGATGTTACCATACAATTTTAATTTAATTCATTTGTTGTTACTGTGCAATTTTTCATTTTGGTGGTGTTACCATGCAATTTTTCATTTTGGTGGTGTTACCATGCAATATTATTCAGGTGCTATTACCATGCAATTTTTCATTCAGGTGGTGTTACCATGCATTTTTCATTCAGGTGGTGTTACCATGCAATTTTTCATTCAGGTGGTGTTACCATGCAATATTATTCAGGTGCTATTACCATGCAATTTTTCATTCAGGTGGTGTTACCATGCATTTTTCATTCAGGTGGTGTTACCATGCAATTTTTCATTCAGGTGGTGTTACCATGCATTTTTCATTCAGGTGGTGTTACCATGCAATTTTTCATTCAGGTGGTGTTACCATGCAATATTATTCAGGTGCTATTACCATGCAATTTTTCATTCAGATGGTGTTACCATGCAATCTAATTCAGGTGCTGTTACCATACAATCTAATTAAGGTGCTATTACCATGCAATTTTTCATTCAGGTTGTGTTACCATGCAATCTACAGAGGTTGATCTGGAATGCTCAGAAGATCTTCAGAATCAATGTGAGGAAACCTACAGATATACACCCTGTTAAAGTCATAGAAGGTATGCCATTTGGTCGCTTATAGTACTAACTTATGTATTTGTGAGTCTATATTTCCATGACCAAAACCTATGTACTACATTAAAGAATGTGTGTATACTATTGCTTAGTGGTGGGACTCGCCACCAAAATCTCTACTCGAGTAGAATGATGAATTTGACGATCGAGAAGACGATTTTGGCGATTATTTTTTAGAAAAATTGAGAAAATTAGAACCTGGAAAATCAAGGCATTTGTCACTATACTTACATCGACTTTTGGTTTATGACCACTCAATTATGTAGTTCTGAACGGATTGAGTACCGTTTTGGATGTTTTAGACACACATTTACCGTATATAAGAATGATATAAGCCTTTTATGGATTTTTCGACTTTGAAATTCCCAATTCCGTCGAAATACATATGCGCATGCGCATGCGATAAACCGGATGTAAACAAACATGAAAAGCAATGAATACGATTCTCATACTTTATTCTCATCAACTGACCATTAAATCAACAAAACAATCTGCAGAATATAGTCCGAAGTATGTATAGAAAAACGTAAAGGCAGCTACAATCCTTGCTTAAATCGTAAGTATGGAGGGTAAATCGCGATTTTTCTCAGAAATTTTCAGGATCACGATTTTCAAATTTTCAATCGATTGATCATTTTTCTATGCTCATTCGAGTTCTAGTCGATAACCCGAGTCACTCGTTACACCACTACTATTGCTTCTAGTAAGTGACTCTGGGCAACCTTATTCATGTAAGAGGGATATATAAGGCTAGATACCAAGGGTTTGCCAAGACTGAAATCAGATTACATAATCATTTACATTGAATAAATCTTGTCTCAAAATAAATAGTATAGTATTGATCATCTACAATGTCAGAAATATTAACCAATTTCATAATTTGTTTGTATTAGTATTCATTGAATGACTTTCATATTTCAGGTGTTCGGGATTTGTGCAAGAAGTTTGTGATCGTGAAAGGAGAGGACAAACTGAGTAAACAGGCCAATTATAATGCTACTATGTTGATGGACATCCTAGTCAGGTCCACATTGTGCGCTAAACGTGTCACGGAAGAGTTCAGGTTATCCTCTGAGGCATTTGATTGGCTGCTGGGAGAAGTGGAGTCGAAGTTTCAACAGGCTCAGGTTTGTTTTTGAAAGAATGATCTGTTTTCGTAAGATAGGGATTCTTCTATGTTTATGTCCAACATATAAAGTTATTACAAGTTGACATCTAACAATTCTCCATAAATTTATTTCAAATATCTAAAGTAATTGACGTATAAAGGTTTTAACACGGTCTTAAACTTCAGATTTTAGGATATTCATTGGCTACTTACTGAATGTGTGCTTACCCATATAAATGCACCATTTTTTACAGCAGATGATAATGTTCCAGTTTTAACTATTTTAACAGGCTCAACCTGGAGAGATGGTTGGAGCTTTAGCTGCTCAGTCTCTTGGAGAACCTGCCACTCAGATGACCTTGAACACTTTCCATTACGCTGGAGTCTCTGCTAAAAACGTAACACTTGGTGTGCCCAGGTTGAAGGAGATCATCAATATATCAAAGAAACCAAAAACGCCCTCTTTAACTGTCTTTTTGTTGGGACAACCAGCAAGAGATGCTGAGAAGGCCAAGGTGAGTGCATATATCCCATGCTACATTTTTGTGTAAATGACAGTGCTTTTAAGTAATTTTAAAAAGTGTATTTTTCTGAAACATAAAATTGAATTTTCGGCTTTAATCTTCACTTTCAGGATGTGCTGTGTCGTCTGGAACACACGACTCTCCGCAAGGTCACAGCTAACACTGCCATCTATTACGATCCAGAACCACAGAATACTGTGATTGCTGAGGACCAAGAATTTGTGAATGTCTACTATGAGATGCCTGATTTTGATCCGAGTCGCATTTCCCCATGGTTACTAAGGATTGAACTAGACAGGAAAAGGATGACAGACAAGAAGCTTACCATGGAGGCAATCAGTGAGAAAATAACAGCTGGTGAGTCATGATTTTTTTGGTTTTTGTCCCACCTTTATAAGTGTTATATTGTCATTGTTTTTTTTTACTGAGTGTTTGGTGGAGGTGGTGACATATTGTAGTCTACTCTTTTGTATTATTGTATAAACATGTGTTTGTAAATTGTGCCTAATACCCAATGATTGGCGTTTAGTTGCCTATAAGTAATAAACTGAAGTTGTTTCGAGGGTTTTCAATACAACATGCAATGTTTATATTTTAGGTTTTGGAGATGATCTGAATTGCATCTTCAATGATGATAATGCTGAGAAGCTGGTACTGAGAATACGTATAATGAACTCTGATGAAGGAAAGTTCAACAATGTGAGTTTGCAATATATCATGTATATATATTCAGTATTTATAAGAAGTTTTATAACGTTTAAAGGCAGAATCTGATCTATAGGGGTGGCAAAATTACAAGCAACATGTATAATTGACCTACCAATCTATTCCTTACAATCTCAAATACAATATCTCCCAAAAGATTCACAATATGTTATTAATTGGTGAAGTTGGCCTAGAGGAACTATAACAGTAAAACCTTTCTAAGTAAAACACCTTTGGCACATCTAAAAAGTTCCGCTTTGGAAGTGCTTCGCTTATAGAGGTCCAACATTAAGTCAGTTGGTTTTGTGACTCTGAAAAGTGTTCCAATTTCAGAGGTGTTCTACTTCACAGGTTACATGGTATTTATGAATCATACTAAAATATTGATATTGTAGGTACAGTTCAAATTGTTTTGACATTTAATGTTTTTATCAATATCAGATATCAAAATCTATTTTTGTTTTTCAACAAAAAATCTGGAATCACTGATTAAAAATATATGAAAATACATCAAAAGATTCATAATTTAGCCCTGTTCTTGTGAACTATGTTCAATTCATTTTACATCAGCCTAATAGAAGGGATCAACATAACTTGATATATGAAAGAAGATATGAAGTGAAATATGTCTTGAATTTCAGGAAGAAGAGGAGGTTGTAGATAAAATGGACGATGACGTCTTCTTGAGGTGTATTGAGGCCAACATGTTGACAGATATGACACTTCAAGGTATGGACATGTTTTACCAGTACAGGGTGTTAAATCATAATGAAAAGCCAGCCCCATTTACTCCCAATAGGCTATTATCATACACTGTCTACCTCTAGGATTATCAATGACATGATGAAAATAAAGTTGAATACATGTATATTTATTGAAGAAATTATAACCATTTTGACTGGCCTTCATTCTGAACCACCCTGTACAAATATGAAATACATCACCTAGATTAAGCTTTTTTATGGTTCCTGGCAGATTCAAAATGAATGAGATTTAACATGGAAAAAAAACATAAAATTGCCAGTATTAACCTGCTGCCAATGGAAGCTATTCTTGGGTCACCCTGTACATGGATAACAATGAATATTCTATTTTCAGGTATAAACGAGATCTCGAAGGTGTACATGCATCTTCCAACGACTGATGACAAGAAAAGAGTCACTCTTACAGACACAGGGGAGTTCAAGTTCCTCCAAGAATGGATTCTGGAAACTGATGGTACTGCCCTCGTCAAAGTTCTTGCCCAGCCAGATGTTGATCCTGTGAGAACAACATCTAACGATATTGTGGAAATTTTCTCGGTAAGGTTCACATATGTTTCATTTTGTTTTATTATGATCAATGGAGGCACATGTTACTGCTAACTATAATAGAAAAATTCAAACCAATGTTGTTTTTGAAAATTTCATATTATGTATAGTAAAAATGTGTTTTGGATGAAAAAACAATGATTTATATCAAGAATCCTCTATATGCATTTCATTAAAAGAATTGATTTAATTTCAGTGTCTGGGAATAGAAGCTGTCAGGAAATCTATAGAGAAAGAGATGAACCATGTCATATCATTTGATGGCTCTTACGTTAACTACCGCCATCTTGCCTTGCTTTGTGACATCATGACGTCCAAAGGACATTTAATGGCTATAACACGTCACGGTGTGAACAGACAGGACATTGGTGCACTTGCGAGATGCTCTTTTGAGGAAACGGTTAGATACAATTATAATTTTAGCTGTTCTATTTATGTAACATTTGAAAATATTTATAATATCAGTGGATAGCATTTCAGTCGAGAGCTCTAGGCATGAGGCCTCATCGAAATTTTGAAAAAGTGTTCAACTATTTTTTTATTGAAACTGTGAAACAAGTATTATGGCAAAGCCATGTGATAACCTCTCTAACACTTTCTCTTCAGGTTGATATCTTAATGGAGGCAGCATCCCATGCGGAAATTGACCCAATGAGAGGAGTGTCTGAGAACATTATGCTGGGGCAGTTGGCCAGGATTGGTAGTGGTTGTTTTGACCTTATGTTAGATGCAGAGAAGTGTAAACATGGCATGGAAATCCCAACAAACATTGGTGGAGGAATGATGGGTCCAGGTAGGTGGAGATGTACTCTTCAAAATCAGAGATAATGCTTTAATCTCGTCTTATTAAATCAGATTAAAAGCTTGTGTTTCAATGTGTTTTTCAGTCTGAACCAAAAAATCCTGTTGCAACCATGCTTATTAAAATTGGGGATATGAATGAAAAATCACAATGTGCAAATCATAGTATTTTAGGTTGAAAAATGTAATGAGGAGTCTGCCTGTCCTTGAGGATTTCCTGGCTGTAAATCTTTCGGCACATGTTTTTAGAAAAAAAATGTTGTGATTTTTGTTTGTTTGCTTGGTAAAGTTTCGAGTGTTTCATTGGGCATAATTAGTTTGTTTCACTGCTAACATTTTGTTTATTTATTTGTAGGTGTTGGAACTGGAATGTTCTTTGGTTCAGCTGGTACCCCCTCTGCTGGTATGTCTCCTCAGATGACTCCCTGGTCCAGTGGAAACACACCCAACTATGCCAGTGCATGGTCCCCAGGGGTAGGATCTGGCATGACCCCAGGGGCAGCTGGCTTCTCACCCTCAGATTCTGGCTTCAGTCCAGGTTATAGCCCTGCCTGGTCTCCCCAGCCTGGATCCCCAGGTTCCCCTGGTCCCTCAAGCCCGTATATTCCCTCCCCAGCTGGTGCCATGTCCCCCAGTTATAGCCCCGCATCCCCTGCATATATCCCCAGCTCACCAGCATCTATTGGAACCCCACAAAGCCCTGGGTATTCTCCACACAGTCCAGGTGGATCTTCACCAAGTTATTCACCGACTAGTCCTAGTTATTCCCCAACCAGTCCTAGTTATTCTCCAACTAGTCCTAGTTATTCACCTACCAGCCCAAGTTATTCCCCAACAAGTCCAAGTTATTCGCCGACTAGCCCAAGCTATTCTCCAACTTCACCAAGTTATTCTCCCACTAGCCCAAGTTATTCACCGACTAGCCCAAGTTATTCCCCCACTTCTCCAAGTTATTCTCCCACTTCCCCTAGTTATTCCCCAACTAGTCCAAGTTATTCACCAACGAGCCCTTCATACAGTCCAACAAGCCCATCATACAGTCCGACATCCCCAAGTTACAGTCCAACTTCCCCAAGCTACAGTCCTACAAGTCCAAGTTACAGTCCAACAAGCCCTTCATACAGTCCTACTTCCCCAAGTTACAGTCCTACAAGCCCAAGCTATTCCCCAAGTTCCCCCAACTATAGCCCCTCATCCCCTAGCTATAGTCCAACAAGCCCCAGCTATAGTCCTAGCTCCCCAAGCTATAGCCCGAGCTCTCCAAAGTATTCCCCACAGAGCCCCAGCTATTCTCCAACTAGCCCAAGCTATAGCCCATCTAGCCCTAAGTATACCCCCACCTCCCCTAACTATTCACCCACTTCTCCAAGCTATAGTCCAAGCTCTCCAAAATACACCCCCACAAGCCCAAGCTATTCACCAACAAGCCCAAGTTATTCTCCCAGTAGCCCGCAATATTCCCCTGCCTCAGCCAGTTACACCCCTGGCTCCCCTAAATACACCCCTGGCTCACCAGAGTACAGCCCTAGTTCTCCTCAGTACAGTCCAAGCTCACCACAATACAGCCCTACAAGTCCTAGCTACAGTCCAAGTTCTCCTAAGTACACACCCACCAGCCCAAGTTATTCCCCATCAAGTCCCAAGTATACACCCACTTCACCCACATATAGCCCAGCCACGCCCACTTATACCCCCACAACTCCCGCCTACTCACCTGCCACACCCACTCAAGATGAGAATGACAGCGATGAGGACTAAATACACTAGAGGACTATAAATCTGTGGACTAAAATTTTTAATTAGAACTGTATTATGGAAATGATATTCGGTGCTGAGGCTCAACATGAAGTGGACTTCCTGAGAGGGGAGTCTGAATACCAGGACGTAAAATCCTTGAAAACTGGGTATTACCAGGGAACATTTCTGGTATTTAGATGCGCATAATTTGAAGGGTTGAAGCCTGCAAAGCAAGGAGTGCACGAGCTAAAAAACTTAAATTCCTGGTATTGATAAACCAGTGGAATAAAATATGCAGTAGAAAAGAGACAACAATTCCTGATGGTGATATACAAAGGAAGATTTGTTTTAACATTAAATGATATGGCTGAATAGAAGATATTTTCTCCTTTGTGAATGGAGAATTTAAACTCATTCAAGCATGTGAAGTGAAAAATGAAAATCCACTCGCATGCATTGAGCAAGTAGTTGGCTCTCCTTTTCAGAAAATGAAAGATTATGTATTAAATCCTGTTTAAGTGGAACACCTTTGGTTCCTGAAAATAGTGTTTCGCTTTGGAGGGATTTCACTCGCAGAAGTTCATTCTATATTATTGTGATAGGATAATGGGACTTGGAAAAATGTTCCACTTATGCAGGCATTCTACTTAAAGAGGTGTTCTACTTTTACAGGTTTTATTCCATATGCTTATGGCATTTCAGTCTGGAGATGCCATTGGTATTTGGCTTAAAATCCAAAAATTCAGCTGAACAAGAGAGTTATTGGAAATGTAACCTTTTTATGAGATGTACAAAGTACACTGAGTCTAGTCTAGTGCACAGGCCTTAGAAAACAACCAGTCCACTGAAGTGATTGGAGCTATTTTCTACGACTATGCATAAGACTACACTTTTAATTTTGAAAAAATCAACAAATATATATATTTTATGTATAAAGTGTAAATAAAAGATTAGTCAGAAGCACTGTCATGACTGTGCTCCATGATGATTGTAGACATTTCAAATAAAATGAAATACAGAATCATGTTTTATAAAAAATTGATTTTTATAAATGTTTGTGTTCTCAGTTAAGGTGAGATATCCAGAGGTTTCATTAAAGTAACTTCATATTTCTTCATGTACTAGAAGTACAAAAACTCGATGCTATTAATTAGATATTTGAATAGAAATATTTTTTATCCAAATCCTGGACATGGAAACTTAGGAAACTTGTCTCATTCAATTCAGTTTTGTTTCAATCCAATAGTTGATACAAAACTCTCACTTCTCCATTTAATCATTTGTCATGATTTACCTAACCCTCACAGAAAAAGAAGAAAGCTTATTTAATTCTCTCTGGATTGTGCTAGAGTTCCTCAACTTCTCATGTTTATTGTAATATTGTAAAACTACAAATTCATTTGAAATAACAATGTGGCCACCAAAATTATACATTTATATGGCATCATTTAAATGTGAGTTTTACCATTTAATCATTAATGGTAAGCACAAGCTGATTTTCTCAGCTTTTAAATTAAATAATTTGTGAGATGAAAAAATATCTCTTTGAGACAATGGAACAAACAAATCCATTTCTTCAAATCGGTGTCAAAGAGTTTGTGGAATAATTTACCATCGTACTGGATAAGAATTTCACAATTTTATTTGTGTAACTTTCTAGAAAGCATAGAACAAATGAAATAATTCAACTCTCAAATTAAAGATTTTCAAATATGTTTTTTTTGCGCCAAAACATTGTACATCCTACTTGTAAAGGATAACTGGTGTAAAACATTTAGATTTTGTACAAATCAGAAATAAAAAACTGATTGTAAAAACAGAAATATCATTATGTTGTGTTATCTTTTGTGACTCGCCCCATATAAGTTTTTGAGGAATTCCAACATTTTCAAAAATTGCTCAAATTCAAAAATATACTTGAAAAATGACCTTGACAGCAGAATATGTAGTGTTGACAATACTAAAATGATTTTTGATGCCATTTGGATTTTAAAAGAAAATATTCCTGAAATAGTGAAATCAATGTCACACTAAATCTCAGTTAAAGCAGTTACGGAGGCTTAACTGTCAAACCAGATTCAGTTTTGACCCGAGTGTTGGACCTATACATCTATATCAGTGTGCGAGTCAACAAAATTTAAGGCCCACTTTGCATATTTTTAACGTTTTTGGGCAAAATAAAGAATTACATTTGAATTTCATAGTATGTCTAAAGTATTGATAAGAACCTTCTTTCATTTGACACCAACAACAGCTCAAATGGACTACATCAAAGCTTACAATAAATCATCAAAAAATATTTTGGATTTGTCAAGCTTTATATATCAAGTTTTTATCAATGTCATTGAAAGTTGGCAAAGTTGTTTGTATTACACGATACATTCATTTTTATAGAAGTGTCGCCATCTTTTAAACCAAAAGTAATTTAAAACGTCCACTTTGCTTGACATTTGCATGAATGTCTAATGATCTCTGAACTCAAACTTTGTGTCATATTTGAGCGAGTGTGTGAGTAAACACATTTCAATGATTTTTTCTTCTAAATTAAGTATAATGCTAGTGGGCCTTTTTAACTAAGAATTTTCTGCCAGATAAATCAAAGGATTATCATGATGAATAACAGAATAAGGTAAAACATGGAATATCATATGAGCAAACGTAAACTAAATATGTCTCCAGTCTTAGCTAAAACTTGACCAATTCTTTCTAAAGGGAGGCAGTGTTAGATTATTAGACAAAATAAACGGAATGTGTTTCTGAATGCTAGCAGCAGACGAGGAGACACCTATTGAACCAGTCAGTGACCTCAAATTAGTAACAAAACACAAGAAATAAGGTATTATTTTTCATTATTTTTCTATTGATAAATATACTATAATGTCATGTATGTGTATGTACAATATAATAAAAACTCCATATATTATATGTCTTAGGCTACCCTTTTAAAATTACAACAAACACCAACAACAAAAATCTTGAATGGAACCCCTCCTCTCAGCAATATTGTATTTCTAATGAATATAATCTGTTGTATCGAGTTTAATTAAGTTGTATGAAACAGTATAACTGCAGCACAAATCAACATGGTTTTCTCAAGCAAGTTGACCCAACATACACTTACAGTTACACCCGTCAACAAATGACAATGAAAATATGGCACACTACTTCTGAAATGCAATAAAAATTGTCTCCTTGATTTGTCCAATGACATGATCATTTGACAAAATGGACCAACAATAGGAGCCTCATATACAGGGTGACCCATAAATACAACCCTCTCATTTTTTAATTTAATAACTTACTTTTTTGTATTTTGGTGGATTCTTGAATTTTTGTCTAGTCTACTAGAGAGTGGTGTACAAAAGATAATTCAAAAAAATTCCATGATGATTAAGAAAATTATTTAAATTTTTTTGGAACACTGTTTTTCATTTTCCCAATTATCACTTGAGCTTTTTATGAAGCTTGAGAAAACCATGAGTTCTTATAGGCTGACAATATAGAGATCCCTAATTTGTTTTCTGTTTCTCTTTACCAGAGTTCCAATAAATCGCCATCTGGAATGTGATAATCCCATTACAAATTGTAGAAACAACATATGTTAATATCATCATAAGGTCCCCTGTTTCTTGAATTGAAGTTAAAATTCTGGCTACAGAACCAAGGAAGAGTAGCATGACTGTGATAGCGCTGAGCTGTCCTGTTGACCCATTCCTGAAGTTTTCTAATGCCTGGATCATCTGGAAAATGAAATAAACATGTGGTGTCTCATGGATACATTTGGTGACTCATGGATTAATCACTTGAATTCTCATTATACATTGAATACAAGAGCGCATTTCAATAAAAATGTCAAAAAAATACTCAGGGTTCATTTGAATATGGAAGCTAGTGATTTTGATAACTTGACATTTTTCTGTGTAGCTATTTCACTAGGTCTAATTGACATAACAGAGTAATAAGACATTTGATCTCAACCAAGAAAATTATTTGGAAAAGTGAATTTGAAAAGTCGCAAAATACTAAAGTGACTGGTTTCAACAAGCTGGTATCAATGTGTTATTTGTAAAACCGTTACCTTTGCCATGGCAACAACTGGCATATTGGCAGCTTGAAGGCCCCATAATAAGGACAATGGTGCGCTAGGTGATAGTAGGAAACCAATAGTTGCAGTATACACTGAAAATAAAAGTGACTATCAATATGTATATAATAAATAGCATACAGTAGGGATGTCATGGATACCAGAGTTTGTTGTTTGTTCAGAATTATTCTGAAAGTTAAGTGACAATTCTAGATAACATTACTGCATTATTTAAGGAATAAAGACCGAGATTCTACATTTTATGGCACAATATATAACCGAAAATCATCTGTTCATTGTTAAAAGACCAAAATCGTGGAGTGGCCAGGATAAAATCTGAGGTCATACATTCATGACATTTGCCAGAAAGACATCTATTTTCATTTTTGAAATTTAGCTGTCAAACATACTCAATCTTTCTCTCTTGGTTAGTCATATGAGAAGTGTTTTAGCTTACCAGTGATGAAGATTAGTGCCTGAGATAGTTTGTCACTATAGACGAGAATAAGAAATCCTATAATAGCGGTCTGAAGCACCAGGAATATGCCCTCTCCATAGGAACTGAAACAGAAATAAGCCCTGTCAATACTATTACTGAGCCTTATCATGAAAACGATCAATGAACCTCACCTCACAGACACCAAATTTTGTGTCAATGGCACCCCTGTGGCGCTTCAGTGATTGACCGGAATGAGTGTAACTTACAAAGTTGGTATAGGGGTATTAAAAAGTTTAAGTGCGCTTGAATGTGCTGTTATTGTTGAAAACATGTGAGCATGTAATTTGCGTCGCGGAGCTTTTTGTTCTTTTTCGTGATACCTGCGGACAAGGCTCATTAAGTGCTGTGCGGGTGAATTGCGCCAGCTGGCATACGAAAATGCACCCTCGATATACAATCATACCAAGGATGAATATGATTTATTTCTCAGATGAGCTCACAATTTGCTTACCTAAATGGAAAATTCATAGCATATCCATAGCTTGTAGATGCAGAGACTGCAAGTAACTCTAATATAACACTGGCAAAACTCAGGCCCTCTGCACTTTTAGCTGAGAGCAGTTTGATGATCTGAGGCAGCTTCACTGAAAAAATAATTCAAGGATTAATTTAAGAGTCCAATGATTTTTAAATTGGTGTTAATAGACCAAAAATGAAGAGTGATTGAGGTCTTTGGCAATGGGCATAATAAAATTGAAGGTCATATATTTGACATAAATCATAGAGTTGAGGTCTTTATTACGATTCCAATAAGATTTGGCATTTGCATGAAGTGATCTGTAATGAAATTTAGTTATTGTTATTGACCAGCAAACCAATTGTAACGTCACATATCATAAACGAATCAGAATTAAATTAAATCAAGGACATTATCTTTTTATATGTAAAGCATACACTCACCTAAGACTGCCCCTAGGATGATGGCATACCCCAAACATTTCACTCACCTAAGACTGCCCCTAGGATGATGGCATACCCCAAACATTTCACTCACCTAAGACTGCTCCTAGGATGATGGCATACCCCAAACATTTGCTGATGACTATCTTCAAGCATTCCACTGAAAAATGTGAATGTACGGTAGATCAGTGTATTGAGAATTTTCATGATTTTAATTACAAAATTATTATTATTCCATAGTTAGCGTGATATTCTTAGGATAACATGTGAAAATAAAACTGTATTTTTGTAATCAGTGGTAAAATATGATATTTTTGACAAATTTTCACTTAACCATAGCATACGGTTTTTTAGCCATGACATACGGCGCCGTATGCGATGGTTTATGGATCATTTGGAAAATTTGAATTAAATCACTTAATTTCCGACGATTCTGATGATGACTTTAACTATGGAATAAAAAGAACATCCTATGATTTACTCATGATATGATTTTAATCCACTCATGGATATTGATATCTGCACTCATAAATCATAGAATATCCTCTATTTATTATAAAAAATGGGTTTGATATTTTCGCATATTTATGTGGATATTTACATATAAATTGAAACAAAACATGTACAAATGTGAAAAATTCTACCTGTTGTAAAAATTATAGGTTCTTGTTATATCTTGAAAATTCATGAAAAATTCTAGACATACGGCTCTTAAGCAGTACATTTATATACATGTAGATGCAACCTCCCCCTGGAAAACTCCTGGGTTCTTCCCTGCAGTGTATGTTGGGTAGAAATGTGAGACAAGCTACAGTACATCTAGTTTAGCCCAAGGACATTTACAAGCTCCATGCTTAGCCCAAACTCTCATAGGAGTATCTCGGAATAGACAATGCGGTGGGCAGATGGAGAAGTAGTCAACATCATTCAACTTGCTTAAAACACTAGTATGTATTATTTTACATTCCCAAATCATTACTTTTGTCAAAATATTTCAAATATCATGAAAATAATCTATCTGAGGAAAGATTTCGAGTTAAAGTTTTCTTGATAATAGTGCACCGTACATGTGTTGATAAATTAGGTACACCTTAAGCAAATAATCATATTCAATGTTGGAATTTTACGCTTATGTGGCACAAGCATGGGAAAAGAACCAATCACGTCCATAGGCCTTGGAACTAGGAACACATATAAAAAATCGTGTTATTGATGTAGATGTGTCGAACACACCAATTAAAGAGCTCCCTGGCCTATGCTCCATCAATTATTTATGTGAAGTCACCAGGCCAAGGGTAAATATTTGCCCGACAGTGGTACTGTCATAGAGTGTGTTCTACCATCAATACTCAATAACATGCAAACAATATGAATCATGATACCTGTACCTCTATGAAATGAAAACCATAGGCCAAGGGAAAAGTAATACTAAGCTGTATATAGAATATACGGCTTACTATTAAAGTGGGGATCATAAAGAATTAAAAAAGCTATGAAAATTACGTGCTGTCGCACATGTAATAAATTCTTACCTCAGTGTATTCAGTGCTCATTTTCTCCGTCTTAGTAAGTCCAAATATAGTGGAATTTGTGTCCATAATGACAAATAAGAGCTTAAAAAGTTGAAGTGGATATTCACATGTTATGCCGACTCTTCAAATGTTGAGGTGATTTTGTCGCCCGATTGCGCCGGAATGGAGGATTGGCTCCCAGAATGCAACATGACACGTGCCAGCTTTCAAAATGCTGTTCCGCCATTTTGAAACCTGTCACGAGTAAATACGGTTAACTGATGTTGCATTCTGGGAGTCGACCGTCCTTGGATAACAAACATGGCGATTCATGAAAACATTCCTACGATTTGGTAGGGATTTATCCATTATTTGCAGCATGGGCTTTCAACTAGAAAGCCCATGTTTGCAGGTATGAAGCTTTGGATTCATTTATTGTGCTACTTTAGTGAACGGGAATTATTTTTCTACCGCTTGGGAGAGTTTGAGACACGAAACTTGGAATTTAGCTCCTTGTGACAACTTGTGAAAATTGAGTTTTATTTTTGTCCCCAACTGTACTTTACCATTGGCCTATGATGAAAACAATGACACTCATCATGTTTTTGAAGATTTTTGAAAACATGAAATTACTTTTAACTGAATATCCAAACAACAGCTAATTGTAGGACACATTTAACTGTTAAACTACTGTATACCTTGATGGATTAAGATATGAGACTATAGGAAACTGGAAAAATGTAGACGAATTCACCTATTATCGCCCACGTAAAATAAAATTTTGCAAACTTTTTAAGTTTTAAACGTTTCGTATGAGTAATCGTCAATAATTTAGATGTTAAATAAAGCCTATAAACTAAACGTACCTTCGAAGAAGTTGAAATTGACGAAAAACTCATAAAAACAGGGATCTGGCACTAAAATCTGTACCCAAGGTTTTAACGGACCGAAAAATGCCATTTTGAACTTTGAACCGCCACATATTACTTTGAAGGATGACGTCACTCTTTATTTTCTTGACGCGCGGGAAATTTAAAAGTTTTGAACTTTGAAAGGTTTAAAATTGCATTGAGATAAACTATGGATTAATTAAATTTGCGTGTTTTCTACAAATGATCAAGCAAAACAGATTACACTTTACCCTGAAAATATAAATAATACAAAACGGATGTTAGGCCTACTACATGTATTTTGAGTGAGCAAAAACATCATGAGAAAGAGAAGTTTTATGTTTTGGCAAAGAGGCAGCAAAGGAAGCCTTAACGAGGATGAATCAGACTCAGATCAACACACACATTCGGAAATAAGCAGGACTAAAACAGAACAATTTAATTCTGGGCAAAATGAACCGACAACATCAATGGATCCAAACGATGAAGATGCTGTCCTACCTTTTGATCACCCAGCCATGTCTTATGAACAACTTAATGAACACATTGAAAATACAATTAAGATGGTGGAATTTGCTCAGAAGAATGATTTATATAAAAACAAGTAAATTATTGACTTCAAGTCGTTTAAAATGTATGGTAGGTTTCAACAATGAAGATGATAAAATAAACTTTCTTGGCATCTGCATTCTTGTTAAGTTTAGGCCTATTGATATTGTTGATGCCGGTTTGATGAAATTGTCATTAACTTTTGAAAGAATATTTGATATTATTTTAGGCCTACTTTACAATGCAAATTGTTGCTTTGAAGTGCATGTACGATGCACTCAACTTATAGATCAACCAGTCTTTGAAATATGTTAAATTCGGGGGTCAACCCAGTTGTCCGAAACCCAGTTGTCCGAAACCCAGTTGTCCGAAACCCAGTTGTCCGAAACCCAGTTCTCCGAAACCCAGTTGTCCGAAACCCAGTTCTCCGAAACCCAGTTCTCCGAAAATTAAAAAATTAAATGTCTTAGTAACGAATCTTGTCGCAACTTCGCGAATCAGGACAGCATAACATTGGTATCACGTTGACATCGGTTAGCCCGGTCAATAATGGGTCCGAAAGTTCACGATCATGTATATATTCTTACTAGATTCTCGGCACATAGACTTATATGGACATTCTACAAATTTTGAACCGCATTGTCCAGCACGAATCGCACTCCTTCTTGGTAAAAATTCAAGACTGCCGCCAACATTTTAGACAATTATCACAGTCGAAGAGAATATTCTGGCGAAAGGAATACCTATCTCATTCGAATAACGTATGGACGTCCGTGACAATTATATATATTCATTTGATAATTTTTTCATTCCCTTTTCTCAATAAAATATGGTTAATTATGTTTTCCAATATCAATTGATAATATTTCTACCCTGAAAAATATCTAAAAAGAAGATTTTGGTTGTTCAGTACCACCCATTGTTAAGATTTCGTCCAAATTTTCGATAAATCAATAAAATATGCTCATTTCGTATAGAGACTTATATATGTGGCATATATACATATCAGATGTCTATCCTTTTTTCATCATAATATAAGAGGCTTGTATGTTTTAGTAGAAACGTATTCCTTTCCAAACATTTAGATTTAAGAATTTCTCCCATTGGTGATATTGTTCAAAATCAAAACTGTGTTTTTGCGATATATTGAACTGTTGAAGTAAGTGTGTAATAGTTTGTAGTAGAGCCAAGATTTGATCTGTATCATGTACGTACCCTGCATAAAAAATTCGTTTTTAGTGTGCCATAGATGTCAACCATTAACTATTGCAGAATCATTGAAAAAGTTTTGTGAAAAATTAGGATAATGTTTCAAAATTATACACCGGACAATAAATAACTATACTCAATGCAGACAGGGAGTTTTAATTGCCCAAAAACTGAGTATCAAAATGCATTTGTATCTCTTTAGTATCTTGCATGACTCGTTCATATGAATTCTTTATTTCTACCTCGTTCCCAATACATTCTGAGACAGTTCAACCTTTGCCCCACGTCGCCACGCGGTCCTAACTTCGACCGTTAATTTGAATTTTTGACCTACCGGAAATTTGAAAATCAATTACGAGTCTCATACTGCACCGTTTTTCTTCAAACTTGTTCCATTCAAAGCATGACAAAAATCTCTTTCTGATGGTACGTTATTATCTTAAACAGAGTTGCTACTTCCAGCGTAATTTTGGTCCCCAGCTGTAAGAAGGCCTTCTAACAGCTGGGGAGTGGGGACCAAAATGCTGCTAGAACGAGAGACTCTTTACAATAAAGTAATGCACTGACAGAAGTGCAATTTTGTTTTGCTTTTAATGGTATAATGGAAGAAAAACGGTGCAGTATCAGACCCGCAATCCTTGATTTTCAAGCATCTGGTAGGTCAAAAATTCCAATTAACGGTCGAAGACCGCGTGATTGCAGAAAGTGATGACCACGTGGAAATTTTGGAACTACCCTTTCGAGTAGGCAAGTAGACCCCAAACGGTTCTAAGTACTTCCAATCCGTCCACAGTTTAAGCCCGTTCTCGAGAGCGTAGTGAGAACTAGTTTGGTGTGATAATAGGGTCAGATACTGAAAGTGTAAGCATGGACGACCTCCCACCGTCCAATGAATACAGTGGGTTCAGAATCAGAAGGCGTTTCAGACGGCGTTCTGAAACAGCTCACTATAGCTTATTCCTTAAATTTTGGCCTGAATGCTTTGTACGTTGAGAGACGGGACGGGACACGACCAGTGTGACAGCGCCATTAGCATTAGGCGCACGATGGGCACATTTTAACTTAGTATGAGTAGGGGATAATTTATGAGGATCAATAGGACTTCCCACGGCAGCCGCACGGTGAATTTTAAATTTCTGTTGATAAATAATACTTTTTTCATTTTATTTACATCAGGGCAATTTATAAATGTTATTCATAGTGCTAGGATGTAATATCAAATGAAAAGTGATCGTGAAACATTGACAAATAATGATTCAATCTTGTTGAGCCAGTTGATTTCTACGGGACCTCAGAAATGAACAAATATTATAACTCCGAGTTACAATTTCTATACGGCGACCCTGCGGCGTGTGAAAAACTGGATACGCCGTACGGAGTCCCCAAGGCAAGCGTAGTTTTCCTACGCACAGGCACTGTAGCCCTTTTAAACATTATCCTCCGTCAATAGAAGATACACTCACCTCCATAAGTTGAATTTTTATTTACTTAACCGGCGATGAAATAACTTATAATATTGATGGAAACGTAACTTGACTTTATTTCCAATACCTTCAAATTTATCAATTTTTTTCCTAAATTACAATAGGTCGAAAATTGATGATAAATTTGATGACTTTTTGAAAATCGTCATTCCCATGTCATCCAATGGGAAATGGTAGATTTACCGCACGTCATATGACAGAATATCAATCCATCCAATTCCTTGCAAAATATGAGTAAGGCAGGCAATTGAATTTGCTAACTTTATTTAACAAAGAATTGATATGTTTCTTCAGGTTCAACAAAGTTACAGGGCTTTAAAGTCCCCGATAAATCGGGCTACGTATACCGCCGTGTTTACATTAGGGGATTAGAAGAGTTTATTTTTTATTTAGGTATGCAAGCTACGTATATCAATATTAGGCCTTCATTCATGTACTCGTGTGCATGTAATCAGCATGCCCTTCAATATTATGTAAACCAGGCTATTCAAGTACTGTATAATGTACACTATTTATGTGTGTACTACATACAATACAATTCCCTGGGAAACAAAACACAAATACTTTTTATATGTTCAAAATGAGCCATTTGATTGATGCAAACACTAAATAGCTTCATAAATAACATTTACAAAGTAAATCTAATAGTAATTTTCAATTTCAATGGTGAAACTTCCCTGGTTACGATTATATGGGAAATCATCACGAGACGAAGATCGTTCGCCTTCCTGGCTTACCTCTGAATCGTGTACCGTGGTAATCTCTTTATATAGTTTAGCGAGAGCGGTGCGCCTGCGCAGTTTTAAACTTTGGCGCACACTTTAAAGTCAAAATTGGTTTTCAAGAAAACTCTCCCATTGAAATAAGACAGGAGTCGAAAAATTATTTTCAAAAATGACTTTGAAGCGCTTTAAATTTAGTATTCATCAAATAAATTAAAACTTAGTGAACAAAAAAGTCAGACAATTCAATTTTTTATACCAAAAAAATTTTGCTGAATCTTTTACTGAAAAGATTCTGATTTGCCCCGAACTCTCTATTTCCCCTTGGATTATACGGGAATGACGATTTTAAAAAATTCATCAAATTTATCCTCAATTTTCGATCTCTTGTTATGGAGGAAAAAAATCTAGAAAATTAGGAGGTATTGGAAATAAAGTAAAGTTACGTTTCCATCAATATTATACGCTATTTCATCGTAAAGAAAAATTCAAACGTAAAGAGGCTTTAACACGTAGTTCAATGGGGGAGCTAAGGTTGCCAAACTTATGGAGGGAGTGTATAAATACAACTACCGCGGAAAAAAATTTTGAGCCCCTAAAACCCAAAAGTGGGCCCAAATTTTGAAATTTTGAGGCCCATTTTCTTCAAAATTTGGCCTGAAATTAAAAAATAAGGCCTTAAAAGGCCCAGTATTGACCAAAGAGGCCCACTTTTTGGGGCCTGAAGGCCTTTTTTGGCCCAAAATTTTTTTTGGGGCCCAAGGCCCCCCCCCCCTAATCCGCCAGTGTTCGTTTCCAGTTAATCCCAAGTGATTACGTTTAGAATGTTTTGTTCTTTTACATTTTACGATTTGATAAGAGACAGAGACTAAGAAATTAAATGCGACGAAACATTTTGACAACGTAATATGTGTACTGTTTATTCTTAAAGTTTTATGCGTTAACTTATTTTATCGGTTTCAAAATGTTTCATTTTATTTTGCCTATATAAAATATATTGAATAAGATAAGATCAACTGTTCCGTAATATATATTGTGTTTTGATGACCTTTTTTAGAATCACAATGTAAAATAAATCCCCCGTTCCTGTCATTCTGGTAACGCCGTGTAATGGATGCAATTCGAAGTGAGAGAGAGAGATCTATACATCAGAATGAATCCATGCCATTAATTTTGACAAATACATGACATGAAACTGGCTTGAGGTGCGTCCCCCTTTATCTGGTAAAGTATGACTAAATTTTTCGGACAACTGGGTTTCGGAGAACTGGGTTTCGGAAAAATGGGTTTCGGAGAACTGGGTTTCGGACAACTGGGTTTCGGACAACTGGGTTTCGGACAACTGGGGTGCACCCGTTAAAATTCAACGTAAAACAGAACACAATATTCTTTCATTATTTATTTTTGTAAATTGAAGACTACGATCAGGAAAGCAAGTAAAAACTATTATAATTTATGATAACTAATTTATACACTTTGTAGAGCAATTCAACAAAACCTAAGATCAGCTGAGAAAAAACTTTTGATTCTGCACGGTGAACACAAAGAGACAAAGCGGCAGATGAGACTTGCGGCAACCAAAGTGCGGGCAATACGTGAAGAAAACGAAAACCTGAAAAAGATCATTCTTAAAGGAGAATGGATGAACTATGGTAATTGTTTTTATTACATTTATTTTCACTGTGCCCATCAATCTTCTATCTATCTTCAAATATAAACGAGTTTCTTCATCAGAGAGAACATAGGCATGGTATTTGATAAATAGTGCACATTACATTCGTGTACCATTCAAATTCAAAACTTATTCCCACAATTTAAAAATAAGCCTTTATTGAGATGAATTTATTCCACAATATACAAAAATATAGGATCATTCATTACAGTATTTAGTTCAAAGTAATGAAGAAAGGAAAATTCCGGGAATTTATATCGAGCATGAAAAAGAATGTTCTTTTAATAGCTGCTATATCTTAATCATTTTACATTACGTTTTGATTTCAGATTCGAACGAGTTCAAATCAACCTGCAAAGCGTTTCAACCAATTTTATATGCGGACTTTCAAAAAATACAAACCAAAAGCGATGCCATTGGTCTGCTTACAAAAATCCAAGAACGCAAAATTCAACTTCAAAAAATGGAATGCCTCACCTACCAGAAATACATTTTGTTTAAATTTGAAGGTGAAGCAGCAGACATGATCAGCAAGAAACATTCGCATAAAAAGAAACATGAAAAATCGTCAAAAAAGAAAGACACAGAAAAACAGAAATCACCATCAAAAGATCCTAGTAATCCAACAGATGCTGCTGATAGGTACAAATACAAGCTTGGTAAGCTTCAGAAAATGATCCAAGACAAGCAACAAAAATTGCAGCATTTAGAAGAAAAGAAGAAAAAATTAAGTGACAGTGCTATCATGTTAGATGTAGAAATAAACGATGCAGAATCTCCTAGTAGAGGTCCGAAGAACCGCCAAAACATTCAATTTGGAGGTTTCCAACCTGCATCACAACTGTCTACAAATGTGGAAACTGGGCCTAGAATTTCAAGGAGAAATGAGAGTAATGAACCAAGAAATGTGAGTTATGGTCCTAGAAACAATATGCCCACTAGTTCTAGGAGAGTACCACCAGCGCCACCTTTACCAAGCGCCATAAGCCGCCTGAATCCACCGCTGATAGTACCTACTCATGCTTTGAATACAGACCTGTAATAGCCCTATAGGCCTAATTCTAAAGCTAATACTAAATTCTCATGCACAAACTGTAAATGGCACACTAGACTACTCCATCCGTATTTGGATTTTAAAGTAAATGCGACTAAATCATAGATTGACTATTTCTTGTATTCCACGGCTTTCATTCTATTGTCATTTTCTGTGGTAAACAACGTTCTGTAGGAAATATTATGGGCAATAATAATGATATTATATAAACCAACTTGTTCTAAACCAAAATAGTGACAGGTGTTATGTACAGTATAACGTGAACAGGTGAAATGAGAGGAGTTTATTTATTTATCAGTCAGTTGACAATTAACTTGCATGAAAATGTATAGGGTGTCTCAAAAAATGTACCCAAAAGTATATCAAGAGCACAGATAAACCAATTAATATTTTCAGACATTTTTTGCATGGTCATGTAGCCAAAACATGAAAGTTTTCTCCCCAATACACCATTTTTATTTCAGTCTTGTCTTTTTGATGCTTTAACCCTTTATCTTTTACACCACATAATCGATGTAACCTCATATGTCGATGACAGCCTGTATCCTTACTGCTACATTGTTCATCACATTTGATTATAATTCCGGTGGAATGTTTTGGATTTCTCTTTGGATGTTGCCCTTAAGTTGTTCTAGGTCTTTTTGCTTGGAATGAGCATTAAAACACTCCTTCAAATAGCCACAGAGAAAGATGTTTGAGGATGACGATGGCAGAACAAACACAGATAATCAGGTCAATTATCGGCAAATGATATCCAAATGAAAACACAGTGGTCTCAACACACAGAGGTCTCACATTGATATACACAACAGAAGCTACACTAGAATCCCAACCAATACCGTTTCTTGAACCTCTGACCTCTCTAGTCTGTATAAGGGGGCTATAAGACATTGTGAGGGCCTCCCTATTCACCATATTTTACGGCCCATACTATCTTCTCTGAGGCTATTTGAAGGACCATTTTATGCTAAACCCAAGCTAAGAGACCTAGAACAACTTAAAGGAATATTCCTTGCCAGACCCTTTCTCTCTTGATATGGTAGCTATAATCATATATATAGTTTCCATATTTAGCAAAACATGGGAAAATGTTTTAATATGGTCAATATTGATCATTTAAAAATCTAGTGCTTATTTCCAGTGAGCTGCCATCTTTTAAGATTTCTTGCAGGAAGTGATGTCATCAACTCTCAACTTCTATAACCTTGCCCATAACAGTATAGGAAAGTAGCACAAAATCACTTCTAGACAAGTGATCATTACTTTCTGTGCAAAAATATTTTCAGGGCTTGTCAACTTAGAATAAAAGAAGAGATTTTCAGAAGGATTAAATAAGATACAAAGTTGAAAAAGAATATTTAGCTGGTTTTGTAATTCTTAATAGCTCCTCACCTAATGCTATATGCAAAGTTGAGAGTCGATGACATCACTTCCTGTGTGAAATTTTAAAAGATGGCAGCTTACTGGAATTGAGCATCATATTTCTAAGTGATCAAATTTAACCATATCAAAACATTTTTGCGTGTTTTGCTAAACATGGCAAGCATATATATGGTTATAGCTACCATATGAGGAGAGAGATGGTTTGGCAAGGAAGGTTCCTTTAAGATCAGCATCCGAACAGAAATCAAAACATTCCACCAGCAATATCAAATGTGATGAACAATGTAGTAGTAAGGATGCAGACTGTCATTGAAATATGAGGTTACATTGAATATGTGGTGTATAAGGTAAAGGGTTAAAGAATCACAAAGGCAAAACTGAATTAAAAAACTGTGTATAGGGGCAAAACCTTTCATCTTTTATCTACAAGACCATGCAAAAAATGTCTGAAAATATTGATTGGTTTGTCTATGGTGTTGATATACTTTTGGGTACATTTTTGAGACACCCTATATATGCTGATATAAAAATTGTTTTACTTGAAGGGGATTGGATTATTTTAACATCTTGTAGATTTTATTGTCCTCTTTTGGATATCCATAATTTCGTTTGCGTGTTATTTCTATATTTTCCATAAAAGATTATTAGCGCAGTAGACTGGTGAACTTCTTTCTCCACACCGAGACTCATCTTTTATTGAATCGGTCTACTGCACATAAAGCCTGCTTCGGACAATTTTGATATTTTCATATATTGTAGATTCAAATGTCATCTTTTGAATATTCATAATTTAATTTGGGTGTTATTTCTATATTTTTCATATAATTTGTTTTTGTTCTAAACTGAGACTTGTCCTTTGTCTTGTTTCCTATGTTTTCTTGATATTTCCTTTCATTTTTTGCCTCGACATCTCACGATGAGACCAAGAACACAAACGGACTGTATCATATGGATCGGGATGGGGACCGTGATTGTAACAGACAAGTACTTTTGTTGGTGTAAATCCAATTTTATTTTATTTCACACAATTGTGCACAGATATTGTATAATAGGGATTATTGTTATTTTGAATATTTGGCGTCTATTTCAAGGCAAATCCTTATTTATCATGACTTTTTATAAATCTTCCAACAAAATATGGCAATTTGGTGATTATTTTATATTGTCTAGTTTGTCAAATTCAAATGGGTGCCAAACAGGCAATGGTTGCATAATGCATATTGATTATAAGTTTGAGTGATTTGAAGATCAAACTTTGCTCTTTCCATTTCTTAAAGATTGGCCTCACCCTTAATTGTCTTCAATATTGTTTTACAACAGTCACATACAATAAATCTGAGATGTTTTGCAGAATATACATATTATACATTGCTGGCAATAATGGCTGTAGGCGTTCCGAGGGCCATTCAATAAATATTTACACAAGTATTCTTATTTTGAAGTTTATACTACATATATTCATTAAAAGACCCTCGTACACCCGGGGGGTTCACTGTATTAAAACTCGACGGGGGTCCTAGGCTGAAGCCTCAAATATCAATATGTTCCCATACCAATCTGTCAAATTTCAATATGTTCCCATACCAACCAAAATAACGCCCAAAGGCCATACCAAATGTCCAAATATAGGACCAATGCCATACCAAATGTCCAAATATAGGACCAATGCCATACCAAATGCCCAATTATGGGACCAATGCCATACCAATTGTCAAAATGTAGGACCAATGCCATACCATATAAAATTCAAAAGTGAAGAAGGCCCTGGAAAAGAAGATACTTCGGGAAACGATCCAAAACAACATCAAATTTGCAACTACTGGACCAATGCCATACCATGAATGTTAGGTAACGTATCTACAACGACCATTCTCACACCAGAAGAGCAAAAGTCCGACCATTGCCATACCTCAGAAGTCAGAAATTTCCGGGCATTCCCATACCAAATCCTAAAATATGGGTCCATTGCCATACCAAACGTTGAAAAAGGTACCCCACATGCGCCGAGGATCCCCGTCAAGGTTTATATATAGTGAACCCCCCGGGCTCGTACACTTGTCTTCACATTCTAAAAAGCTATGAAGTAGAGTTCAAATAAAACAAGTTATGAAGCGAATGAAAAATAAACAAAATAAAAACACCCAACATGGCATAAACGTCGTCGTCGGCTATGATTACGGCCAATAGCTCTATCATATACCTATAGTATAACTACAGATGTTTACATTTTTGTGCAGGGGGTGCCGCTGAGATTTAAAATATCTACCCACATCTAGGGATTTTTTTCTCTAAAAACGGACCCACATCTAGAGGTTTTCTTTCAAAAATAGACCCACATCTAGGGTTTTCTTTCAAAAATAGACCCATTTCAAGGTAATTTTAAAAAAACAAGACCCACTTCCGGCGATTTTTTTCAAAAACAGTACCCAGTTTTAGGATTTTTTAAAAAGTAGACCCAGTTCTAGGGATTTTTTCATCAAAATGGGACCCATATCTAGGTTTTTTAGCGGCACGTCCCCATATAGCAAATATATGGGAGTACCCCCCCCCCCCCCAGGCTGACAAATGATACAAATGTAGACAAATTCAATACTTTTGCATCTTGATTCACAAGTTGTTCATACCTCACATATTCGGGTAGAAAGCGACGATGATAATTTTGTTGTCGTCAATTTTGGGTTTACAAATAAGGTTAGTACAACTGTAAACTGTGTGTATCAAAAACAATTTGTGACCAATCCATGACATTTGACAACTTTTATATGCTTGTTGAGTCAAAATGGCAAGAAAAAAGAAGTGACTTAAAATAGTCACAAAATCTCGGAAAACAGTTTTTCTACAGTTAAAGTTTTGTTTCTTTTTTGGCTAACAGAAACAATTTTTTTATGGCATTACATACAAAATAAATAAATAATAAACATTAGTGAATAATTATTGAAAGCTCACACTACATGTACTATAAGTACACAAACCTCACTCTGAATGACTTTTTTGTTAAAACCTGTAAATGAATGTGGCTATTAGATATATGAGATATATATTCCTGCCAAAGGTGGAACTGGTGCGTCACCTATCCAGGATAAGTCTGTTGCTTAATTATCTTGGTAAGATAATATTTTTTGGATGAAAGACTGGGTAGCCAGGTAACACATTAATTCTATCACATATTTTAGCCACATTCTGTTCACATTCGTTCAAGTATCACAACAACAATGATGACCTACATGTGGAATATAAATGATGAGGACATTTAACAGTAAGTTTGATGACTTTAGGTGACAATGCCAAATAATTTTAACATATTTTAAAAATGGATGGTATCCAGGCCCATAGCCAGCTTTTCACTACTTGAAAGGTGCTCAGAATGGTGAAAAACTGCATGATTTTGAAAGAATATTTGGCCAGTGGGGAGAGTTCAAACCCTTTCCCTGGCCAATATCCTGGCTATGGGCAGGGTGTCACAAATTTACTCTGTATCCAGCATATAATTAATTTTATAAGAGACTAAAACGCTTCTTTTGAAAAGTTGCATGGCAGATACATACTTTTACATTCAATACATGCATGCATTTACAATATATTCAATATATATAATATATATACATATCTTAGTTACATTCAAGTTGTATCACTTTAGTGAAGAGTACAGTAATACCCTCAGAGATGAAGACTATTGGAAAAAATAACAAGGCATTAACAGGCAACAGGTGTCACCACCTGCCATTTGTTACAGACACCATGTCATTTGTGGTGATGACATAAAAAAAAATTCACGATTTTGATCTAAGAGAATTGGATTTAACAAGGGAGCCAATGGGAAGAATAAAACCGGGGTTTGTCAAAGAATGTTCGTTCAGACATTCACAAAAAATATCTTTTTTAAGGGGAGTGGTGTTCAACCAGAGAGTTTTACTGCATTATTGTGCACCTAATTTATAACAACAGTTCTGATTGGTCAATACAGAGTCACATGACATAAAATACAATGCCATGGAAATTATCAACAAAACAATTAAGACAAGATATATGTTGTTATACATAGTTATTCTTCAGTAAACTACAATAGTACACAAAAGATACTATCATAATTAAATATTTAAAGATGATTGATTATATACACAAATAGAATATTTTCATTATAGGGTTGTAGAGTATGATTTGAGATTCAGGCGTATAATAAGGTTATCAGATAAAATGGTTGAAGCTAATAACTGAAAAGTTCATATTTACTATACATAAAAATACCAGGGTCATCTGGAGTAAAATTCACCAAATTGAACTTATTATTACTATTATTAGTCACCCTGTATTTATATTTAGTTGTCATTAATTATATGACAGGTGGGATTATACAGGGTGGTCATTTATTTTGGTCCACTTTTTACAATACATGTTTATTACATTTCTATGCTTTGATATTATTCATTTTATTATTGTTTGTTTATTATATTGGAGAAAGTCCACACATTTGGTACACAAATAAAAATGATGAGTATTAAGTAATACTTCAATGTTACATCAAATTTACAGGTCTACCCATTAACTCTTAAAGAGCAACAGTATTTAAAGGGGCAGTGCCTGCTATTCTGATCCTAAATGACCTCAGAATGTTTCAATTCATAATCATTTGTAACTTGCAACGTAAATTGACTTTCATTTTTGTAAATATCAAAACTTATAAAGTAAGTAAATGGAGTAAAGTATAATTTTGTAATTCAACTAAGTAAATTAATTGCTTCGTATGGTGAAAGCACTTTGGGACTTTAAATGATGCTAACTTAGTTACTGCTGAGCAATACCTTATGATCTTTGATATTTACAGAAAATCTGGTTTAATTTAAAGAATGATCATAGATGTACATTAGATCATTATTAATTGTGAATTTAAAACATTTTGGAGTTAATAAAAAGACCGACCCTTTAATAGAATACATCCGAGTAACTCATCGTTCAGATATTTGCATGAGTACATCATAATAACTCACCATTCAAATATTTGCATGAGTACATCCAAGTAACTCATCGTTCAGATATTTGCATGAGATGCCCATGCGAGGAGGGGCAGGGATTTGACACACAGATTGTTTCAGGGAATGGGATATTTACTTAAGACATGTTAGATATTCTAGACAGACTTAATATCATTATGCATAAATATGTTCAAAACATTGTCATATATGATTATTCACATTCAACACTCATTCTTTGGTTTATGCACATTTACATTGAACTTTCACTGCACTAAAAATCTCTTGCTATGTGTATATTCTCTTCCTTTATACAGGGTGTCCCTTCTTAATACAGGGTGTACCTCCTTAAATAGAGACTCAGAGTGATATTCCCTTATACAGGGTGTCTTTCTCTAATACAGGATGTACCTCTCTAATTCAAAATGTCACTCCTTAATAGTTAATACGAGTGTCCCTCCCTAATACAAGGTGTCCCTCTCTAATGTAGAGAGTTTCCTAATATTGGGTGTCACTCTCTAATACAGGGTGTACCTCCCTAATACAGGGTGTCCCTCCCTAATACAGGGTGTCCCTCCCTAATACAGGGTGTACCTAAAATAATTTTGTCTACTCTAGCCATGAGCAATATATATATATACAGTACATGTAGATCCTCAATGTTACGCTACAAACAATTTGCTCCCATTCTGAACATCAGTCGTGCTTTATTAGGACACCCTGTATGTATTTGTTCATAGTACACACTGCATACAGAAGAGATCTGTAGAAAGAATTACATTTATAGCCCGATAGCTACTGAGCGCTGTATATTTTATCAACGTAAAAATACTTATTTTAATACTTATACCACAAGTAAATTGTCACAATGATCATTTGATTCTTGGCCCAGTTTTCTAAGGCCACACTTGTGGGACTCAAACATATTGTCTTCTTCAGTATAAATGGTCGTCATGGGAGAAGAGTTGTCAATTAAAAGCAAAATAACATTAAAACTGACAATCACATAAAGTAAATAGGCATATAGGCAATATTATATGAAAGAAAATCACACACTTCATTCAAATTTTAGAGAGAAAACAGAAGAAATCAAAATGGCCAATGTGAGAATTTTGCATATGGCTTGAGACAGCAGATCTATATGGCACCACAGATATATCACATACATGTACAATATCACTGTATAATATCATATTTTCTAAATACTTGAGACACAAAATATGAGATGTAATAATTACCTGACTAACAGGTTTTTAAATCAGTAATTTTACTGATTTCATTTTTGGTTTTATCCTACATTTAGTTGATTAAAATCAATTGAAATAAATACCTAACTACATGCTTCTGTTAAAAAGGGTCAGGCCAAAACCTGACACCTGACACTACTTAGAGGTCAAGCCAACACATCATTCATATCCATCAAAAAACAGTCAATCATAACTAATACCCAGTACATTATTTGATGTATGGTGATCTTTGATTAAACTCCTAATTTTAAAATCAGTTATCGTACTGAGATTAAAATTTTGGTTCTAACACTAAATTAAATAAATAGCCTACATTTCAACTCTCTCAAGAGATGGAAAAACCTTAAAATTTTGGTTTTTAGATTTTTGGTTAATTATCAAATATTGGAGATAAATACCTTTCTACTTTCTCACGACATGAAAAAACTTAAAATTTTGGTTTTCCCATTAAAAATTAATATAAAACATTGGGAAATAAAAACATTTCTACTTTCTCAAGGGATGGAAAAAAATTTGGTTTTTATTTGGTTAATATCAAACATTGGAAATAAATCAATGTTGAAAGATGGAGAATGGAGAATCAAACATTTAGAGCACCCTTTGATTCCCACCCTTGCTTTTACAGGACCAATTCCAATTTTCAAATCAGGGCCCCGTTTTTGTACCATTCGTAGTAACGAACGTTCGTAAATCCATTGTTTAATTTGCGAATTTCGCAAAGTTGCATTTTCGTAAGATTCGTAAAGTTACGAACGATTCGTAAATTTACGAAAATAGTGACGTCATGCCTGGTTTCGTTCGTAGATTTAATACCACCTCTGACCCTTTCGTAACTTTGCGAACGGCCTCTTATTTATTCATTACTGATTTGTGACGTTTTGTCATTCTAAATCAGAGATCACAAAGGGCAACACCGTCATCAACGTATTATTAACCTATTTCTATATCTATTTTAGTACTTTTCATGGAATCTTTATTTTTATAAAGTTCTTATTGTATGACTTTGGTTTTATTATTTTGATCAACCCTGTTTGTTGTACTATCTGTCCTGACCACTGTGGAATATGACGTCAACCAATTCGTAAATCTTACTCTAAACAATTGGAAAGTTACGAATGACTTACGAAATCGTACAAAAATGATCCATTCGCAACTTAACGAATTCGTAACTCATTCGTAACTTTTTAAATATTTACGAATTTACGAATTGCGAACGTTCGTTACTACGAACGGTACAAAAACGGACTCCAGGTAATTAAAGTACACCCAAATCAACACTCTGAAATCCTCTATTCAGACACTACAGATAGAGTATGGTACCAGTAACATTTCTGACAACAGGTAAAATTAAATGAAAACAACAGCCAAAATAAAATTCCTTAAAACAGGCAATTTATGAAAACCAGAGCAAACCACATGCATGTTACCAGCATATGGTTCTGTTTGAATGCTGTATATTACCATTGGAGTAAACTGTACATGTACTGTAGAGTACCATACTCTATGTGTACCATACAGTACTGTTGCCAATACTGCACATTACTGTTGGAGTATAGAGTACTACAGTATACAGTACTGCTGTTGGTACTGTACATTATTGTTATACTTTACTGCAGGGTACCATACTCTATGTGTACCATACAGTACTGTTGTTGGTACTGTACATTACTGTTAGAGCATACTTAACTGCAAGGTTGTAGGTACTGTTCATTACTGTTGGAGTACTGCAGTATACAGTACTGCTGTACTGTTCATTACTGTTGGAGTGTACTTAACTGCAGGGTACCATAATCTATGTGTACCGATACAGTACTGTTGAAGGTACTGTACATTACTGTTGAAGTGTACTTAACTGCAGGGTACCATACTCTATGTGTACCGTACAGTACTGTTGTTGGTACTGTACATTACCGTTGAAGTATACTTAACTGCAGGATACCATACTCTAAGTGTACCATACATACATTACTGTTGGAGTATACTTTACTGCAGGGTACCATACTTTATGTGTACCATACAGTACTGTTGTTGGTACTGTACATTACTGTTGGAGTGTACTTAACTGCATGGTACCATACTGCAGGGTACTGCACTCTTATATTTCTGTGCATATTGGCTGTGAAATTCAATTTAATGAGCAATACCCTTTCATTGAAATATTTGGTGTCTATTAGTATTAAAAAACATGCATATTATTGCATAAATCCAAAAACCATTTCTTGCTTTAATCTAGGGAAATCCCAGGTACCAATGATATTGGATCAAATGTACCTCACTGATATAGCTTGAAAGGTTTATTCTTATTTGAAAGTTTAACATTATTTGTATAGTGGGGTTTACCATTATTTGAAAGGTTTACCATTATTTGAAGGGTTTACCAATATTTGAAAGGTTAACTCATTATTTGAAAGGTTTGGCATCATTCTTAAGGTTTACATCTTTCTTAAGGTTTAACATTATTTCTAGGATTTAATCACTTGAAGAATCTGAGTGCAGGGTTTAATCACTTGAAGAATCTGAGTGCAGGGTTTAATCACTTGAAGAATCTGAGTGCAGGGTTTAATCACTTGAAGAATCTGAGTGCAGGGTTTAATCACTTGAAGAATCTGAGTGCAGGGATTCAGTTGTGTCCTCTTCAGGCTGCTCCTCTGTCATTTCCACATCAATGCTAAATTCAGAGCCTGAACCATCAGTCGCCATTTTTTCTTGATCCGTAACCATAGCAACCGCATCCTGTTTCTTCTTGGTGGAACGCATTGATCCGAAACGTTGGAAACGGTCCATGAACGTTTCAGTTTTTGCCGTTTTTACAGTTTGAATTTTGTTACGCTGGAATGCCATAATGCAGTGAAGATTACCTCCAATTTTTTTGGTATTGCGCTTAAGGGGTCCTTTCCATAATCTGCGGATATCGATATAATCAGGGTTCCCATTGTTGAGGTCAGTGCTAATATCTTCCCATCTAAAAAATCATAAAATTAAATCCTGTTACAAATGTTTGCAATTCTATTCATACACATTATAGCTCATTCTCTGAGGAGTTTTGTTAATGTGTTCTTTCTCCCCCTCTGCAGACCCCTAATTCCAATCTCATTGGTAAGAAAGGAGACATGATTGCACAGAACTAAATGTTCTGAAATTGCTTGTACATATATTGCTCATAATCAATAATGCCTTATGGATGAGTTCCAATTGTCAATAGTTGTGGAAGATCAAATTGAATTTTGTAAGGGCTAAATGAAGATTTCAGTCATGAATATTGTTGATTTTCAATTGAAATTTGAATTAACATGGGGGATTAAGCTATATTGTATTGTATTGTATCCTTTATTACCACATTATTTCTATGTGAGTACATTACAATTTTCAATATTTTTTTTTTCCAAACATATTTACATCAACATGTTGCGTTTTTTATACATAAAATAAATTGCTTTGGCCTTTAAAATCATATTAAAATCATCATCCCCTATAACAAAATGAACTTCATTTTACAAACGGTCAATATATGGACACCATCTTTTGAATTCACATATCCTGAACTATTTGTTTATATTAATATATAATTTCAAACATCACATTCTTTCAAAGTTTTAAAATGAATTTCACAGATTGATGAATGGACTAGCGAAAGATTACAAAAATATCTAACATCCAAATTATTTCAAGCTAGGTTTCCATGAAAAGTTATGAAAGCACTTTATTTCAAAACATCCCTCTTTTTATAAATGGACTCTTCCAAATCCACTAAATGGACTAGCTTATTGATTAGAATGGGGGTGTTTACTACCTGATGGAATGGATGCATGGCTGCTTCCTACTTGGTTCACCTATCAATATCCAAGTGTCAACATCAGTTTGGTCAAGTTTAGCTCTGAAATACAACAGTAAAAACAAGATAACTAGGCTATATTTGAATGTTTAAATGGATTCTTAGAAGATCATTGATACAACTAGAGCTATTTGAAGTTTTGTACATTTATACTAGAGGTCACAACGGTACTGAAAACCAGTATTGGTAACCGTCATGCTAATAACCGTACCGTTACCGAAATACCGGTAAAAATATGTAAGATAAAATGCCAATGCGCTGCCACCCCCACTTTGTTCCTAACTCTCTCCGTAGCTTCTCAAGTCTATATGCATACGTTATAGCAACCCTCCTACATCCGACTTACAAAAAGATGATAAGGACTCTTTAGCAGAGAGCTTGTACTTTATTTTGTTCACAATTAAAAGCTCAGATACTATCACAAAATATTAAAGTTACAAATATAATACGAAATGCTATTCCTGCGTCATCCGTGTCAAGTGAACGCCAATCAGTGCAGCTGGCACCATCACTTCCAAACGGGCACGACTTCAACCTGAGGTTGTCAATGCCTTGTTGTTCGTAAATGACTATTACAAACATAATTCAGTTTCTGGATCTGACGTTGACACTGCAACTACACCGGAACTGCCAAACATAACTACAACCAAATCTGAGCCTGAGCATGAAGCTACTACACCTGAACTGCCAAACATAACTACAACCAAATCTGAGCCTGAGCATGAAGCTACTACACCGGAACTGCCAAACATAACTACAACCACATCTGAGCCTGAGCATGAAGCTACTACACCTGAACTGCCAAACATAACTACAACCAAATCTGAGCCTGAGCATGAAGCTACTACACCGGAACTGCCAAACATAACTACAACCAAATCTGAGCCTGAGCATGAAGCTACTACACCGGAACTGCCAAACATAGCTACAACCAAATCTGAGCCTGAGCATGAAGCTACTACACCGAACTGCCAAACATGGACATCACACCTGAACTGACAAACATGGAAGTCCCACCTGAACTGCCGAACATGGACATCTAAATGTCTTTGTAAATGTACGCATCGTGAAAGTGGAAATTAAACAAAATAATTTAAAAAAACGACTTGTCTTTTATTTCCCCAGGGATTACCGTCGGTTAACCAGTTAATAATTTCAATACCGGTAAATGCTCAATTCAGTACTGAAACCGTATAACCGGAATTACCGTCAGCCTCTAATTTATACCCATTATACTGTCACCTTTCATTGAATATTTACTATATTCTATCCTGATATATGTAATAAACAGAAGATATCCTATGGTTTATAAGTGATATGATTTTTATCCTTGTATTGATATGATATCTACACCACTGAGCACACCTTAAAAGTACTAGTCTCTGGTTTATGCCTGGGTCACATTTGCTCCGATTTTCACTACGACGCCCGACCGATTGAGTATTTTGTTCAAAATTGAATATGATATTGAACAAAACACTCAATCGGCCGGGTGCCCGCCGATGGATCGGAGCAAATGTGACCCAGGCATTAGATAAAATATGCAAAATATGGTATTATTTCACTGGCTACAAAAATTCCATTTTTACTTTGACATGATTCCATCCAAAATATCATAGTTATGATAGAAATATTGATGACATCACACAGGACAGGCAGTTTAATTGGCAAAATATATTTTGGACTTTGTCACTTACAAGCATCAACAGCCTTAACTGGTACATCCTCATATACCATAGGACAGGAAGTAGTAATTGACAAAATACATTTAGGACTCAAGTCAACTTAATACTCACTTATAAGTATAAACCCCCTTAACTGGTACATCCTCATATTCCATAGTACAGCAAGTAGTGATTGACCAGTCACCATAATACTCACTTATAAGCATCAACTGCCTTAACCGGCACATCCTCATATCCCATAGGGCAGAAGTTGTAATTGACAAAATACATTTAGGACTCAAGTCAACTTAATACTCACTTATAAGCATCAACAGCCTTAACCGGCACATCCTCATATCCCATAGGGCAGAAGTAATGGTTCTGGCAGTGGTAAATAAAGGCAATGTCATCCTGCTTTAAACTCTTCTTTAACTTAAGTAAAGCCTCATCTGATGACACCCCATATGTTTTATTCCTTCCCATTGGTTTGTAGAAGAAATGGCTGCTTCCACGGACACCATAATGATCATTTAGTTTCTTAAACCATCTGAAATATCACAATATGCTTTATAATGTAAAAATTGACTCAACTTTCCTAAGGACATTTCAAAAGTGATGTCCTTACTGTTATTAGGATTGTAGAAGAAATAACTGATTTCATAATCATCATTCTCTTCTTTAAATTATCTGGAATGCCAGAATACACTTTTATAGTTCCCATTTGAAAACTCGCTCACTGCTGATCTAATACAATGAAAGGACTGAGTAAATGTATAACATACACCCAGAAGTCTAACATTATCCCAGAGTTGCATTTCTCAACATTGCTGTTGATAACCACAGAAGTTCCGTTAACATGCGAAGGTCAACTGTTCAGTTCAGTTATATAGAAATCCTTATGAACTTATGAACAGTAAAACCTGTTCAATCTGAATGCCATTGGGAATGGCCAAAGGTGTCCAGATTGGCAATTGTTCACATCCCAAGGTTTTTTGAAATTAGACGTTTTTATGGGAGATTAAAAAATGGGTCAAAAAAGTGTTCACATTGAAGTGTTCAAATTCGAGAGGTGTACAGATTAGAGAGGTGTTCATATATGCTGGTTTTACATTAATGGATCTGATGAAGTAAATAAGTGAGTAAATCATGCTACAAAATCCCCTACCTCATAAGAGTAGCATTTCCAGTGAAAGGGCCAAAGCGAATTTCCTCAAATGGTGGTTTAAAATCCAGTATTGTAAGAGCTTCTTCCTGTGTGATTGGCTTCAATGTACCAGCGCCTGTTAGATGAAAAAAGTGGAATCAGCATGGAATGAAGTAAACAGAATGCTTTAGATTATATAGAAATATAGCTCAGAGGTAATTTAGTAATTTAATTGCTCCACAATCCTGGAGAGTGAAGACACATGTAAGTTGTACTATATAAATACTAAATAGTGAATTTTTTAGTTTGTGAAGTCAATGATTTGAATTACAGTTTATATAGAAATATCACTCAGATGGTATTTCATTATACAGGGTGTCTATAACATAAAGTCTCGTTCCAATTTAAAAAATTAAATACGAAGGCAATTGATAAGATATCATAATCAGACTTGTTCTATTGTACTCAGTGGTTTTCAAAATTTTTCTACAATCCTTGTGAGTAAAAATACTAGTTTCAGATAAAACACATGATGAGTTTCCCAAGGAATAACTAGACACACAAGTACACAGCATGAAGATTATAAGACACACAAGTACACGTGACTAACCAAGGGTTGAGAAGAGGTAGTTCCAGCAAGACACTAATGAAGATATTCCACAAGATTTCTTGTACTGCGGTCTGCTGATACAGAACCTGCAAGGAAGAACAATATTTCATGATTCAAATGTTATTATTAACATACAGAGGGCGTCATTTACACAAAAAAATAATGTCTGAGGGTACTTTGGAACACTTCTTCTGCTCAACAATAAACAATGCAATCAAAATGTCTTAAATATAATTATGGAAAGGATAGGGGAAAAACCCAAGATGTACAATCAATATCAACATTATAAGTGAGTGCCTTTTGATTTTAAAACAATTAATAACTCTTCAACTATTTTTTTCAGGTGAGATCATTGGTGCAACATTAAAACACAGAGCTTTTCTATGAGACTAAAATTATGTAACAAAGATGGTCAAGGAAAGGAAGGGGGTTAAAACTGACTCAGAAATAGGGAGAGGGTTATCACTGAAATGCATATTTGCTCTTGGGGATTAATCATTCAATTTAATTGTAACTTTACATAAGACCATCCATGTCACTTCACACCTCTAGGAAACCAACTGTAATAAAGATAAGTACTTTGAGCTAGTGGGTTTCCTGGAGTGGTCGGAGGTCTCCCCTTGCTTTGAACCCATGTTTTTATTGTATATTCGATTATTTATCCATTTGGCCCAGTGCCAGTTGGCTTTATGCCCAGTTGGCCTGGTGCCAGTTGGCTATTTGCCAACCTGGCTCTTTGCCAAAAACAGGCTGTATATAAATAAGAATTGTGTAGCCTCAGTGAAGTTGATTTTAGAGTTGATTAGAGACAGTGTGATTTTGCAGAGTAAGATTCAGTTGTTGAGTTTTAGAGTATAATCAGTCGGTTACAACCAGGAAATTACTTAGGACATGTAAAGTTATATTAATCAATGAACAATAAAAGAAATAGAAATCAAACTAACATTTTATGTTACTGCCACTAGACGACACGAGCCACAACATTATATTTTATGACAATAATTTGTTACATTGGTGCCGTTGCCAGGATTTTATAGATATATTTTCTTAAAAACGAATCTGGGAGCCTTCTGTTAGAAAGTGAACACAACTCAAGAAATGGAGGACTCGGTTATCAATACTAGGATTACCGAATTAGGAACTAAAATAAAAGTATTAACTGAAAATGAAACCAAAGAATTGAAGGAAGCAAATGACCTATTTGAAGAATTGTACGAATTTCCTAAACAGCAGAGGATTAGGTATAACAGTATGGCCGAGGAAATCAACAGGCTGAAGATGAACAATCAGAAAATAAGAAAGTGTAATGAGCATTTCCAGAAGAGCAAACAAATTGGTATGGAGATAAAGGAGTATGACCAAGAAGTACGTAGACTCAGAATAGAACTGAATGCCACTTTACAAAATAACAGTGGTAATGCAGGGGGTAAAGCCGTTCCATCCTCACCTAAATTTGAATCTGCTTTTACTCGCCATGATGCCAAGATGAGCAGTGAAGATGAGACATTGAATGTGAGCCCCTCTCAAAACTTGCTGGAAACTCACAATGCAATAAATGCAGACTCCGACAACTCTACAGTAGAAAGGTCCGACACAGAGAAGGCAGGGGTGGTTCTGTTGGAAAACAGTGACACAGAGAAATATGATGTTATATCAGAAGAAAACCATGTAATGCAGGCACAAGTGCAAACTACCCCTGTGGACACATTATATGCAACACAGAGGGGATTAGCCATAATGGCAAAGAAAACACTGAAGTCGTTTGAAGTGAAGAATCGAGTAAGAGTTAACAAACCACGTCTACGAGTCTACAAGGAAAAACGCAACAAGCCTTCGGCCCAGCTAAGCAAGAATAAGCATGTAAAACGGCTTGTTCACAAAGCTTGGTCCACTACCAACCATGTCACAAGACTAAAACTTAAAAAGGGAGCAAACTATATGGGAGATGTTATTCCCATAACCTATGAGTGTTGGTCTTCACCAGTAGAGACCCTGGAGTCCCGTATGGCCAGAGGGTGGCATAATGCGAAAAACAAAGAACCCAACAATGGATGTGAGAAAAACGGATGTTGGATGAACGTTGAAACGATTGGACTGTAGATATTGGATTATATTTGAACTGACAATGTATGACTTTTGTAACTTCTGAGGCTACTTCTAATTTTTAGTTATGATTCGCCATGGGCTGAACATTGGACCTTGTTGTTGTTGTTAGAGATTTTTCATTATGTGACAATGTGTGTAGAAGGATAACGTCAATATTACTATTGCAGAGATTTTGTGGTTTTTGTTATTTGGATCTACTGAGTGTATTTGGATGGTATTAAGACGAAGAGGCCATTAATTATAGTGTTTTAATATTGTTGAAATGGATAACTGTTCAATAATGTGTCATAAATTGTCATTTGTGACAGGAAACACAGAATAGAATATAGAGGATAATTATGACTACTATCAAACTGTACATATTGGATATCAAGTATCTGCTTGACTTTGGCACAAATCGTAAAATGATACATCGTGTGGTTTCTATCAGCCATAAACTGTTTATTATGTGATATGTTAAGTGTGGATAAAGTGATACGGAACAAAGGATAATTAGTACTAATCAAACAGTGTTTCATACATCTCAATCATCAGTTTGATTTCAGAACATTTTTATGACTTTTACCCCAGATATTTGATAAACAATTAGGTCATAAACTGGAAAGTTATGGGCTAACACAAGTGATATGATTAGCTATTGATAGCACCTTTAAGGACTAGATTGTTTTATGGCCATACCAAAGCAAATATGGATGTTCAATCTATTGCTGTTTATGACCGTCACTTTTAATCACTCAAGTAGTCAAACATTACAATTTAAATTAATATTTATATTTATTTGTGGCTTTGCTGTAAGTGTATTATCCCCTGACTTATACTGGATGCTCAAACCCTTTCATCTATGCGGATCATACATTTCATTACATTTTCCTTGATAATTTGTTGTACCTCAGGACTTAATCATCACCTGATCTACACGTGTTCAAGTAGAAGAGAATTTGGATTTATTTATTTAACTTACAGTGAATAGTTGGATTATCTCAAGTTTCTGTGGATGGTACCCAGTCAACATTAGGACAACAAAATATGAATATGTATTATATAGTATGATGGTACAAAATATTGTATGATTTGATGCTGGATTTATATTTGCTGTGAGATTTGGATTAAATCAAGATCATTTGAATAGTACCCAGCCAGAATAGGGATAAATGGGTCATATTTATTTTGTTTAAATATTGTTGGAATGGATAACTGTTCAACAAATGTGTCAACAAATGTCACTTCCATCAGGAATTATGATTAAAATATTCGAATCACGGATCATTGGATTATAATAGACAAGTTTAAGCACATTATGGAGGAATACTGCAAGGCTGTTATAAAAGGAGACATCTATGGAGTGTTATGTTTTGGCAAAAATGCTGGAGGTGATGTCATTTTTCCTACAAATTATAATCATTGATGTGTCACATGAGGATGAATTTTGGACTTGTTGGAAGAGACTGTGTCTTTTTACCTTTATCTCATATTTTAGATAAGTATAGCTTGGTTAAAGTTCTGTCAAGTGGCTTCTTGTTGCAATCTTGAATGTAGTGATATTGAAAGACAAAGATTCATTATTCTTTCCATGTAATGTAAAGGCTGTTTGTAAACTATGATGATATTATGAATATAGGCTAAGTGACCCTTGAGTACATGTATATGAGGCCAAGAGAGCCTAGAGTATATGAGGCCAAGAGAGCCTTTGTTTTTAGTAGATAAGGCCAAGAGAGCCTGTAGTTTAAGTAGATAAGGCCAAGAGAGCCTGTTGCTTTTAAGTGTATTACTATTAGGGTCAAGGGATCCTTCGATTTATGTGTGACGGCTGGAAAAGCCAGTAGTTTTTATGAATATGGTCAATAGAGCCTTGGTATTTATGTTTAAAAGTTTTGAGAGCCTTTAAATTGATATGGGTTAGAACAGTGTAAGCAGTCATAGGTTTGACTGATAGAAGCATTTTGACTATTTCCAAGCTATACACTATTTATGATATATTTTTATGACTATTCCTACAGCTTTTTGTTGAGTCACTCAAAATTTGTTGTTAACGCAATATGGATTGCATATAGTATGGGTTGACAAGGTGATCCAGTTGTGTCTGTAGGATTTATTTGCCTAAATGTCTGATTGCCAAATGCAGCTTTGGTTAAATGTAATTGGGTGCTTGGATGATAGTGTGGTTTCTATGCTTAGTATTAGACAGGCATTCTAGCAAAAGCATTTTGAGAAGTTTCAAAAGAAGAAAAAAACAAACTTTTTTAATTAATTAGGATGCTCAAGGTCAGTCAATGGTATTGAATAATTATATTATAATGTTGGGAATTTAAGTTTGCATTTAGTGGTATAGTTTGGTCAATTGATCCACTGTTGTTTATTTTTAAGTACATAAGTATATTTATAACAGCAAGTATACTGCATTATATACCTTATTTTATTTGGGACAAATAATTACAAAGTAGGGGGAGAATGTAACAAAGATGGTCAAGGAAAGGAAGGGGGTTAAAACTGACTCAGAAATAGGGAGAGGGTTATCACTGAAATGCATATTTGCTCTTGGGGATTAATCATTCAATTTAATTGTAACTTTACATAAGACCATCCATGTCACTTCACACCTCTAGGAAACCAACTGTAATAAAGATAAGTACTTTGAGCTAGTGGGTTTCCTGGAGTGGTCGGAGGTCTCCCCTTGCTTTGAACCCATGTTTTTATTGTATATTCGATTATTTATCCATTTGGCCCAGTGCCAGTTGGCTTTATGCCCAGTTGGCCTGGTGCCAGTTGGCTATTTGCCAACCTGGCTCTTTGCCAAAAACAGGCTGTATATAAATAAGAATTGTGTAGCCTCAGTGAAGTTGATTTTAGAGTTGATTAGAGACAGTGTGATTTTGCAGAGTAAGATTCAGTTGTTGAGTTTTAGAGTATAATCAGTCGGTTACAACCAGGAAATTACTTAGGACATGTAAAGTTATATTAATCAATGAACAATAAAAGAAATAGAAATCAAACTAACATTTTATGTTACTGCCACTAGACGACACGAGCCACAACATTATATTTTATGACAATAATTTGTTACAATTAATCTTACCACCGTTTCATATCCAGCACCTTGCGTTGAGACATAGTTTCTATGGTAGCCGAGCATGATGGAATGTTTGGGTCTGTTTCCACGGCAACTGTTTCAGACTCTTCTTCAAGTTTCTTAGCAGATCTCCTTGGAGATTTCAACTTGGGCATCCCTGAAATTTTTTATGTTAATATTCACTTTTGATCGAGAGAAATGTTGTTACTGCATTCTGTAAATTTTGTTACACACTTTCTACTAAATTCTGCCTTCTTTTTGTTACTGAGTTGTCAGTCTTTTACATTTTTTGATGTAGAATACTTCAAATGGGAATGTGTAAAATCATACATAAAATTAATAAATAGCAGTGCTTTCATTGAAATGTAGTCTATTCATAACTGTAACACTGCATACTAGTAGGCTATATATTTGCAATATGAAAGCAGTGATTTATGCAAAGCAGTGATTTATGCAAGCTCCAAGATTGACCCCTATGGCCTCTAAAGAACCCCCCCCCCCCGCCGCAATAATGCAACTGAGACTCTGTCTCACTGGTTATTGTTATACCTAGTTTGAGTTTAGGTTTTGATCGTTTAGGTTTGTTAAAGTCTGAGGTGTCGACGTCCCAGACCAGTGGCTCCTCCTTTTCATCTTCCTGTAAACTACTGCCTGGTCGGGAATCTTCTTGGAACACACCATCATCAGCTGCAATTTAAAAATATGATAATGTCAAGTTTGTGATAAAACTCACTGAAAAAATACAAAAGCAAACCAATGTTTGCTTTCTTCTAAAATTTTGGATGTATGTACATTGCATACGAGATTTACCATTTTTCCTCGAAAATGTGACCTTCTATGATTTTATGTGATCAACAATAACACATTTATAATGTTGACTAAATCTGCTACAGTCTTGGTGATGGAGGGGGAAGCAGGCAATTTCTGCAAGAAAATTGAACAAATCAGAATGATTTATTTTGTCAAGAGAATGTTACACATACCAGTTATTTCTACATCTTCAAGGGCTGCGTGTTGACCTACATCTCCAGCCTGACCAGGGGTGTGTTCTTCTGGTGTAACAGCCTGGTTCTTCCCTTTACTGCTGTTTTCCTCCACATTAGAGCTCTCCACTTCATCTTCTTCATCTTGCAAGATTGTAGAGGATTGCTGTCCAGACTGGAGATTACCCATACTTTACACTGAAAATATACATTGGCTTTCAGGACTATTATACTGCCTCTGGAATCCCATAATTATAGCGACTGCCATTAACCTCTTGAATCCCAGGCTCTAAAATTGGTTGAAACCAGAGATTTTTTCATTTTTGCCACCTTTTGACATTATACTACATACCTAAACAACTTCAGATGCTCAACTTAGTAAAATTAGACGGTAGAGATCATTTCTACACATTCTAAAACAAATTTTGTGTAAATTGGATGAAAATAGTTCAAATAGAGCAATTTTAGTGAAAAATTTTGTGACAGATTTTCTCGTCACTCTGGGTTTCAAGGTCATTTCTGAGGTGACAAGAAATCTCGTCACTCCAGGTAGTCAAGAGGTTAAGGGAAATAACTCTGCAATTTCTGGAATTTTATGTTTAAGTCCCAGCAAACAGCCGAATATCTTTTAGGGCACACCTGGTTGGTTTTGGATATTTAACTAGTAAAATCATTTTGGTTTCAATATCATCCTTATCTCAAAACATGTAAAGGTGGATTAGTGGTTGGATAAAACAAATTATTTTGATAAAGTAAATCTTGGGAACTCCAAAATTACATAATTGTACATGATGTACCCAAAATTTGATCATTCTCACTTTTAAATTATTACATTTTTTGACGGACATTGAAATATTGACGGAGGTCCTATCAAATTATGGTCCTACTCTCCATTAATTTATATGGTGACCTAAATACAACTCTTTCCCTCATTATCTTATACGCAATCAGGGCCAGTAAGCGCCATTAAGGTACAGCTGGAAAGTAACATTTTGGTAAAAATTGCTATACCTGCACATGTTATTTTCTGGTACAAAATAAAGTATGAAGGCATGTGTCAATTTCCTTGCTTTTTTCAGGAAAGTATCATTACATTGTCTTCTTTTAGAATATCTGGTAGGGGTTCAATGGGAACTCCAGGAAATTCTGATATTTCACATTTTCTATTTTTCCAAATTTTCTTTCAAAGTTTCCAGACAACACAGAAGCTTCCATTGACCTGTTTCCAGATATTCTAAAAGTAAACAGTGTAATGATACTTTCCTGAAAAAAGCAAGGAAATACACACATGACTTCATACTTAATTTTGTACCAGAAAATAACATGTGCAGGTATAGCAATTTTTTACCAAAATGTTACTTTCCAGCTGAACCTTAAGAAAGGGGACCATAATCCCTGGGGGACCATCATTTCTTTCACACCGGCCCTTATGCTTTGGTCTCATTATATATGTCCAAGGTATATATGATGTTTTATGAGCAATTATATAGGGACATTATTGGGGTTGCACTAAATACCACCTAGGTGCCCCACACCTAGGTGTCCCCATTGAAATGCCTTACTGGCATATTTTACTATTTATTTCAAGCTAACATTTTTCCAAGTGTTAATATATTACATGATAAAGTATTTTCATGAAACTTGTGTAAATGTTTCTGTTAGTTTATGATATTTTTTAATTGTCTTGAAAATGTCGAAAAGTCATTTGTTAGGATAATATTTCATTATTTGCTCACTACAAAATGCTACAAATTCACTATTTTAGCAACTAAAGCAAGAAAAAAATATATGTTTCAAAGATAAATGCACACTTTAGCATAAACGGTGTTTTATTACTACAAATAAGTGATCATACATATGAGCAAAATTCCAGGTGCCCATTTTTCTAACGATAAAGCTTTCTATATTTTATTTTCGAATCTTCTTTAGAATATTTTCGACTACAAATGATTATTACAAGTCTATCACATGTCAAGTTAATATGACAAAGAAAATAATACTAAATTTACGTGGTTTAATATGGAATTATAAATCCAGGTGCCCAAGGGGACACCTAGGTGTTATTTAGTAACACCCCATTATTGATTGTCCGGAAGAGAAATCTGGACGTCTGGATCTAAGGAAAAGTATATAGTGTGATACGACTTATGTTCACGATCATAGGCCAAGGGAAAAGTAATAGTAAGCTCAGTATATAGAAGAGATATACGGCTTACTATTACTTTACCCTTGGCCTATGTTCACGATGATGAAAATTCAAAATGATGAGTGAAAAAAATGAAAAAATGTTAGAACCTTCTGGACCTAAATTTTGCCTGAACAACGTACACTTTCTGACCACCGCAACTAAATTTACTAGCACAATATACTCATATCACAAAATAGTTAATATATCGTTGAAAATCATTCAAAACGCACCTGTTATCCGTAAAATATTGCAAACATAAATTTGAATTTTTACTCTTCAAATATGGAGATTCATGACACGCCACATATTGTAAACAAAGATTTGCACAGAAGACATCATTTTGTGTTGATGCTTTTACCTCTAAAAGCGATTATTACGTAATGATTATATATTTGAAGTGTAAGATAAGATATTTTTCTATATCAATGAATCCTTTTCAATCCCCATTTTGTCCAATGAGTATAAAATAATGCCTATATAAGATATGAATAATTGATCCGATCAGTGTCAGTGCACACTTCCAGTAATCCTTACAAGAAATACAGGCTACAGCGAAGTTGCAAATGGAGGACTTTTGTTTATTTCCATAGTTCTGAAGGTATAGTAGATTTTACATATATTCCAAGTGTTCTACATTACATTGTATAGATTCATCGAACAAGTTCCAACGTATTACCAGCACCACAGAAAAGCCCAATGGACAAAGATAGAGAACACCCGCTCCATTTGGAACTTAACTGTACCCTGTATCCTTTTTAGTGGCCACGTGGTAAGGTAGGGTGAAAGAGAAAGAGAGCTATTCACACGTACTTGTAGGGACATCTTTGAGGTGAGCGCGTATTTTCATGTGTATCACGCCCGGTGATCGTGAAAATGGGACGGAGGGGGGGGGGGGAGCAGGCAATTTCCGCTAGAAAATTCAACAAATCTGGTAAAAATATTTTTTTAAGACAGAGTTTACGATTGAATTGCAAATTGAATAAGCGCACGGTATGATAAAATATGTTAGGTATTCTAGGATTATTTTTCAACCGATGCTCTTTTAAGATATAAGATCTATTAAAAAAGGCGCAACGCAACCAACGTGCAAAAGTCAAAGTTTTTGCTATAAATCAAGCAACAATGGACTACACGACCTGTAATAAATACTTGTAAGTGATGTTATCATAACTAAATTAATGTCATTGCTGAATTTATAAAATAAGTTTCCATACGTAAAATAAAAAATAATCGAAAATAATTAAAATGGGACGGAGGGGGGAGGGGACGGAGGGGGGAGTAATAATTCTATAAAATGAAACAACTTCACACTAATTCTTGTATTTGAAAAATGAACTCATTAACTTAGTAAGAAACTGGATGATATACCCCCGGAGACTGAAAAATGGGGACATTTGGAGTAAAAGGACTTAAAGTCGCGAAACATCTCTAATCATGTCTTATATACAGGGTGACCCAAAAAAAATGCAACCCTCCATTTTCCGAATATTTTTCTTAAATGGAGGTTAATTGATCTGAAATTTGGCACACAAGGACTTCATTCAATGTGGGATCCTCTGGTAAAGTTTCAATAATCATAGTCTTATATTGATAGAGTTATGGTCGTTCCAAAATATGCTCCAAATGTCGTCCATTTCCAATGTCAGGTTTTCGGATGAATCACATTCCCTTCTTTCAGAACATGTAAACTCAAGAAATAATGTGTTTTGGGATCACAAATTCCAGATAAAGTGCTTCACAGGCCCCTACATTCTGTTAAATGCACAGCTTGGGCTGCCAATTTCCAAACATGAAATCATCTGCCCCTTTTGGTTTGAGGTTGATAATGGCAACAATGTTACTGTTAACACACAGTGCAATATTGGCGTTCCCAGGAAGTTCTAGGCAGTTCTAGAGTGACATAGAGGCTTCAATAGACAAGAACAGTGGTTCTAGAAGGATGGAGCTACTCTTCACACTTCTAATGATAGCATAGCCCGGCTCACTAGTCATTTCTATGAGAAGATTATCTCTCCTAGGACGGAGGACCCATGGTCATCCCACAGTCTTGATCTCAATGCCCTTGACTTCTATACGGGGTTATTTAAAGGATAATGTGTATGAAAATAACCCTACCGCAATTGCAGAACTCCAATAAGCAATGGCTGCAAAAATTTGAGCTATACCCATGGTGAAGAATGCATATGTGTTATGAACAGTTTTCCTTGAACATTGCAAGTTTGTTTTCAGCGAAATTGACGACATCTGGAGCATATTTTGAAACAACCATAACTCTATCAATATAAGACTATGATTATTAAAACTTTGCCAAAGGATCCCACATAGAATGAAGTCCTTGTGTGCCAAATCTCAGAGCAATTTACCTCCATTTAAGAAAAATATTGACGAAATGGAGGGTTGCATTTTTTTTGGGTCACCCTGTACATATTGACATTGTTATAAAATACAAGTAGCATTTCGTCTCAGCTGTTGTGGCTGTTTCCGTTTGGGTTTTCACAGACTGCGATGGCTTACTGCAAATACTTGCTTATAAAAATACAAGACGAAATTCATCATTTTAATAAAGATAAATAAATACCTTTAATAGTGCATATTTCATAACATCATATAGAACTCCATTCAGTAATTAACAAATAACTCTATTACTGTACAGTATTAATTCGGACATCACAGACACTTAATAACTCTCACAAGAGTCTAAACCTCAGTTTGGTCGTATAGCGACCGTAGCTTCACAAAATTGATATAGAAAAACTGCATCGTACTGCTTATCCCTATATTTTATGCTGCATATTCCTCTCGATTTTGGGAAGCTACGACCGCCGTACGGTTGCCGTACATCAAATGTGACTGAAGCATCACTCTTATTCAATTTTAAATGCATACTTATTCAAAGAAGTGCATTTTATTTTAATTCTAACAACTTTATTGTAGTCTTTCTCTAGTCTTTAGCATTGTACTCTAAATGCAACTTTTTGATTGTAGTTATATTCTAACAATTTTATTGTACTCTTACATCTAACGACTTTATTGTACTTTTACTCTAATGGTCATCATTTTCTAATTTAAACAAGAACATTGCAGTCTAGTTTGAACAATGACCATTTCAAAAAGTACATTGTACTCAAACGAGGTCATTGTATCCCCATTGTACTCAAACGAGGTCATTGTATCCTCGTTGTACTCAAACGAGGTCATTGTATCCTCATTGTACTCAAACGAGGTCATTGTATCCTCATTCTAATATGAGCGTTGCACTCTAATTTAAATTAGAATATTGTAATCTCAATTTTTGGCAAGGTTATCTATTGTACTCTTACTCTCAAAATTTTATTGTACTCTCTAAGTCAAATAAATTCATTTATTCAAACAAAGGCACTGTTCTCTTACTCTAACAATATCAATGTACTCTCAGTGCAATAATTTCTCATTAATCGTTTTCGATTGAGATACACTTAATTGTTCTCGCAAATACAAATGTCTCCTTAGTCTTACTCCAAGAAGTACACTGTACCTCTTTGTACTTTTCTGAGAATAAAGAAAAATGGGCCACTAACAGACTAACTTGTACTCAACATTCCGTGTTGCTGAGAAACTTAACTTGTATTTGCAAATGCAACTAATGCCTGTCGGCTACCGGATTAACCTACTATTTTACTGGAAAACTCATTTCATTTAAATATGAATAGTAGCTGTCTAGTTGCTGCCACTATTCCATTCATATTTAAATGAGTTGGTCATAAAATACTAGGTTAATCCGGTAGCCGACATGCGTAACTAGTTGCATTCGCGAATACAAGGCTAGCTTGCGAATGCAACTGACGGCTGTCAGCTACCGGATTAACCCACAATTTTATGGGCAACTCATTTAAATATGAATGGAATAGTGGCAGATATTATTAATATTGATATTAGTCGGTCATAAAATAGTAGGTTAATCCGGTAGTCGTTATTTGCATTCGCGAATACAAGCTTACAAGGAAAACGCATCAACTGTATTAATAATTTTGCCTAATCATTAAAATAACCTATTGCTATTATTTTTGCCAGGTTCGGAAAATTAAATGTCGGAAATATCATCTTCAAAATCATAATGCCACTCTACTATACCTAACCCCTAGAAATGCATAAGATTCTCTGTTTGTCTATTTGTATTGTTTAGTATATTTTTGAAAGTACCTTATTAACATGAACATTCATCCGATAAACCATTAATAAGGGTCAGACAAATAAAAACAAACAACATAATCATCACTAATAAGCCAAATGGGTCGCTCATGAACACCAAATGCAAGGTATAGTAGAGTGAATGTTATCCAATGGAATTTCCTTGTCATTAGGAAAATTCGAATTAGGAAAATGATAAAATTTGACCATTCGGGAAACTAACCACTTGGATTAAATACAACTACAATATTAGAAAATAAAAAGATCTTAAACATACATGTGTAGATATCTCAAAAAAAAAATTCACGTGAAAATCAAAACCAATGGGATTTTTTTGTCTTTTACATTTTATCCAATGGCTTCAATCACTGGTTCCACCTGGTTATAAAGAACGTCTTTATAACAAAATGGGTGGACTTCCGTTGGAGTAATTTTTTATTTTCATTATTTTCACCAAAAACGTATAACCAGCTGGGGACCATTGTTTAACTTGTTTAACTACTAGTTGAATAGTTCTGTGTTTCATCGATTTTATCCATGATTGCAATGAGAGATTTTATATTTACGACTACATTGGTATTGCCACTTGGGACCCTTGTAGAGATCCTCCAATATACCTGATCTAACATATTAGACATTGTCCAAACCATCGTATGGGCCAAACCATTTGCTATTCGACCATTGTTGTCCAATATGGGCATTATCTCAATTATATGCGCTTTGCTTGGAGCAAAATTTATATTGTAGAACGCTCCGCCATGTACCCCTATTATCGCCCGGGTATTGCCAAACAATTTTAAAGTTTCTTTGAAGTTATAGTTGCCTTGAAATAAAACAAAATTGCTGCCGTATCGTTCTTTTAACGTGTTTGCGACTGCATCAGAATTGAGCAATTTTCTTCCACCATTCTTTGAGAATGCTCTTGTCAGTAGTACTACTGATGAGTTGGTTACGTCATCAGGTAAAGTCTCCTTGGCACCGAGTCTCTTGCGACCTAATTTCCAAAGAATGGGGTGAATACCCGGGGTAATACAAGTGAAAATCAAATGGTTTGCGCCGTATGTGTTACCATCAAGTCCTATGACAATTTTGTCTGCAGTTATTCCGAGAGCTGTGAGGAAATCGTTTATGATGTTATCGCGTGGGGTCTTTAGAAGGATCTTAACGCCGGGTATATTCAAAAAGTGAAACACTTGCATAATTTTAGGTAGCGTTCCATCGAGAAAATGTTGAAACGTCCATCCGTCGGGAACGACCAACGGTATTAAAATATTAAACCAATTCATTGGAGTGACATTACTTCTATTTTTGGCCTTAGTCTCGTTAACGTTCGACTTCCAACCACAGTCTTGTCGTTTGACAGTGAATGTTCCGCTTCGAATATGGTATATTCGACCAATCAAACTCTTTGGATCAGGCCCATTTTTTAACAAATCATGATTAGGGTGAAACGTCAAGAATAGTCTCCTGTCTTCAGAAGTAATCGTATTTGGTTCGGGGAAACTCACATTTGGATATATGATAGTCTCCATGTCAACGCCATCTAAATCTATATGCTTCGGAATTGTATAAAGGCATGCGGCATCATATATATTCCAGCTCTTCGGCGGACAACTTATGACGTTTGGACGTTCCATTACAAATCCATGTGGAAGATGACTCGTGATTTTGTCTGTTCCGAACGATATGTTTTTGAGCATTTTAGTTTTGTAATTTGAGTGAGGTTTTAATAAGTACAAAGGATCTATTACATCGAGAAGAATAAGTGTAACGAAAAGGTATATGAAAATGGCGATTCCCATCAGCCTGCGCCATCTTTGTGGAATCTGCATTTTTTCTCGTTTATTGTCAGTTTATCAACTTGGAGTTGACTTAACGCTGAGGAAGCGAGACTGCGGTTTGGGTGCCAGCATACGGTCGCTTGAATCTGACCTGAAAATATATAAAATAGCATATAAGATACGGCCAATGGCTTGGGTCTTAAAAATTCAGATTCTTGAGGGGATTCTGACCCGATGACTTTTCATGGATCAAGCTCAGAAGTACCTCGTCTGAACATGACGTGATGAAATAACCATTCATACAAGCGATGTTGTTTTCAGTCACACAATATACATGTAAAAAGGTATATTACCAAGATTTCAATTAAACAATTCCATGGCTGTTCAAAGCAAGTTTCAAATTCAATTAAAAAACAAACTTTACATCATTGATTTGAGTGCATCGAATCATTGAATTTCCAAACGGCGTGCATATTATGTTTGGCTTTCGCAACATGTAATTTATGGGGAGTGTTAAAAATGTCAGCAAAATTAAGTTTGCACTTATTGTAACTATTCTTTTATTACCTTTCCAATTAGATATGATGCCAGCAATTGTAATACTTAAAGAAACGCATTCTACATTGAAAATGGTTTGAATATATTCATATATTTATTTATTCAACCACGAACCTTAACTAAATCGCCACCCAGCCTTATCAGGCTTATGAGGCACTACGTATGTTTAATTACAATACATACTACTTAATGCAACAAAAATGCCATTTTTTGTTGGATTACAATGATATTAATTGGCAAATTCATCTATACTTGATTTCATGTTGTTTCAAAAAATGATTTCAAGTAACCCTAATTGGTCAGATTTATTTATAGTATTAGATTAACGCAGTCGCTTAAATGGACATACCTTGTGAGTATCTCAATGGGGACTGATGCTGTTGATCTCAAACTATTTTTAGGTAAAATTTTATAGATCAAAATTTGGTAACAGTTTGTTGTCGTATAAAGGAGAGGAGATAATGCTGAAAATTGTATTTTAATTGATAGTTAATCTGTAATTATACTGGTTTTTGATTTGTTGATCTTTAACTCCAATAATTCGGATCTTTAGTCATGTTAGTTTACACACATTTGTTGAGTACATTTGAGTACATTATGATTTAGAAAGCATTTTTTCTAAACTCATTAGATAAAAGTAAAGGAGGTAATAATCGAACAATCAATTACATGAAACCAGGAATGTAGAATTGTGTACAATACATATTGTTGACCGCTAATCAACCAATCAGAATCGAGTATTTCAGTTTAGGTGCTAACAATATGATTTAGTTCATGAATTTATGATAATTAGCCAAGTTAACTTGAAATTGTAGAATTAATGGCATGTCTGATTTATATTGAGATTTCATGGATATTTGTTCTGAATAAAAGTGCGTATAAGAATATACATGTACACATATCTGTCTGTTCACTAAGCTGAGGGGGATATGATGTACCAACTTACCTCATGTTAAATATTTTCTAGTCCATAATCCATAAATTGTAATCGATTAACTTAAGTTTCATAACTTTACTATGGCTGTACAACATTATAGATAGTAGATACGGAACGACGAGTGTGAGTCAGCCCTAGCTTGTGCACGAATGTATAATCCAGATGCAACGACCGTAACTGTCATAACACATGTAAACTTTGCCAATAAGAAGCTAGGACGTTATTTATTGCAAGGCTGACCAAAAATATTATGAATACTTATAGTTGTATTGAAAATCATGGTCAGTATGTATTTGTGTTTGTATCTTTTATTTCCCAATTCATCATTGGAGTATTAAAATATAACATATATACAGCACTGGCGGATTAGGGGGGGGGGGCTGGGGTCCCGGCCCCCCCCCCCTTGGGTGGGCCCAGAAAAAAATTGGGCCCAAAAAGGCCTTAAGGCCCCAAAAAGTGGGCCTTTTTGGTCATAATTGGGCCTTTTAAGGCCTTATTTTTTAATTTCAGGCCAAATTTGGAAGAAAATGGGCCTCAAAATTTCAAAATTTGGGCCCACTTTTGGGTTTTAGGGGCCCAAAATTTTTTTCCTGACTTTTTTTCTCTGACCTGAAATTTGCCCCCCCCCCCCTTGTTGCTTCCCAGATCCGCCCCTGTACAGATATACAAGTTGAACATATTCAAGTGATTCTTATTTACATTTCATTTCAAATAAGTTATACCATGGTCAGAGGAATATCAGACAGTGCACTGTCAGGTATATAACTGTATAACAGCAAGTGATAATTTACATGATATTTGGGATTTTGATGATATCGGCGATGATATTAGATCGGAGGGATGATATGAATATCCACCCGGGTATATATTGCACCATAGCACTAACGTCATAGGACTGAGTTATGGACATTTCTTTCGAGTATATCAGTATGAGGGAGAAAATACTTTTGAATATAAATTCTTCCTTGGTGATATACTTTCATCCCAAGAATTTTTACGCTGCAATCACCGACGCCGGCACACTCCAATAAGTTTTAAGACACTCTACCATAATTTCCGATGTTGAGAGATGGATTATTGTTGCTGTGACTTTTCACGATGTCGTGGCGATACTTAGCGAGATACTTAGCCCATCGCGAAGGCAGACAGCAATTTTCGTTACAGTTAAATGACAGCTATCATGGGTTGATATCGAAAAAGTTGTCCACTGTGACGGAGCATGCTATTTTTCATGAAACATTAAGAAAACTTCACAATTTATATTTTAATTCATTTGTTTCGTTACCAAACAAAATTCGCTCCTCTAAAGTGTAGTTGCAAAAGCTTTATATAAATCTTCAATTCCAATGTATTTCACATATTTTAACGTCGCGAGATTTTCATTACAACTTAAGCTGTACACTAATCACAGTTTTAATGGCAGTATTTGACATATTTTTGACATGTTACCGTGGAGGATCGGCTTTTGTCTTCTTTTGCGATATTTTCAGTCTATAGTATAGACATTACGTTGACGTTTACTTGACAGTTTGATTAATGTCCTTTGTTTCAAAACAATCTAAAACATCTGAACTCACCGAAGTGATAATTATTTGGTTGTTTTTAATATTTTGTTGTGTAATAAGAGTGAAACACACTTAATTAATGTTGAAGCGTAAAAAGGCGGTCTTATTTTGCATTGCATCACTGAACTAGGTAATCTTCAAATTTCTTTGATTCTCTTATTGAAAGCCCATGATATCATAAATTAGGGACCATTTTGACCTTATATCCCAATCAGACAGTTTATACTCGATTAGTATGCTTATTTCCTAATTAAACAGTCTTCACCACAAACCACACAACATATGATATCACATATATTATAGGATTAAATTCGAGCCAGCATCCCGCGTTTATTTGAATAGCATCAAGTACATCTGATACAAAGAATGAGTGAAAAAATGAAAAAATATAGCCAGGTCGCGATGCATCCAGGTACCTATGACGGCCACGATGCCGATGTCATAACGGCCACGATGCCGATGTCATAGCGGCCACGATGCCGATGGCATTAATGCCAGAAACCTCTTAGGTTCAAATATACCCAACATCCGTCCTCGGCTCCCAACCTCACTGCTGATTTACGATGTTTAACTGCCTTCAAGACATCAATAAGGCACCGTGTGCCTAATTAAAAATCTAAATCCAACAACCCATCCATATCCGGATCAACTGTCATTAAAGCCATTGTTTGTTAACACGTCAAAGATCTCAAATTAATTCACAAATTTCGGAATAATTAAACCAATTCTAAATTGTGACTATCTGTCAACTTGCACTATAAAAAAACTTGTATAAGGACCGTACACGTATTTAGTGCCTTCTAGCACTATGCAAAATCTGTAACATACCTCACTATCTAATACAGTAAATGTTGTTAAGAGTAGTAAATCATACAGTGTGACCCGGGGTGACCCCTGATGCATTCTGGGAGTTTTTCAGGGGTCCACGCTGATTGGGCAGTTTAAACCACGCGCCTACGCTCTGATTTGTCGAGTTTGACCACGTAACCGACCTTATTAATCACTGTTGAACTAGGTTAATTAAAGTCGATGGTTGACCGCTAAAAAGACGTTTAACCTTGAAAGCCTGTACCGTCGGTACAGGCTCTGGTAATTTGATACGGAATATTGACAGCCGATGAAGTAAAATTAATAAAAACGCGTCAGTCGTTGACTGGTAATCGATAATAGGTAAGACCGTACCCGCCGGTACAGGCTCGAGTAATTTCTTACATGTTGTGGCACGTGGGGCGTGACTTAAATAATAAGGTCGTCTCGTTAATTACTTTAACGGCGAAGGCGAAACGGCCGTCAATCGATAATCTAGCTTCAGTATTGTGAATAGGTTAATTAATAATCGAGAAAGTCTTTAAACGGATATATTGATAAATAAAAGTTTACTTAGGGCAAAAAGTAGATTCCCTGTTTTGTTCCCCTCGCTTTCACAATGGGATCAATTACATCTTGAAAATTTTTTTTTGGGTAGGGGGAATTTGAATATTTATATTTACAAGTATAGCCTCGCAAAAAATCTTATTTTTCATTGTTCACTTATTTCAACATCCCGAGTCCATATACGACTATATAATGTCAGAACATTACATATTTATCCAACAATCTCTTTTACCCTCGCAAAAATTTTCAATTTCATTATTCATTTTTCACTTATTATCTTAAGTCCACATAAAGAATAAAAGATATAAGCCCACTTCATTTTTGTCAAAAAATGTTTACCTTACAAAAATTTTCATTTTTTTTCATTTTTACTTATTTCGACATCCCAAGACAGTATACATACTACAACATGTCAAAACACTTCATTTTTGTCAAACGTTTTACCTTTACAAAAATTTTCAATTCATTTTATTCATTTTCACTTATTTCAGCAGCCCAAGTCTGTATAAAGACTAAAATGTGTTAGCACGCTTCATTTGTATCCAAAAATGTTTACCCTTACAAAAATTTTCATTTTTTTCATTTTTACTTATTTCGACATCCTATGAAGAAAAAAGTGAAGCTGATAGCTGTAGCGAATGTAGTTATTTCGACCCCGTGGATTTTGGAAGCCATAGTTAAATCTCACAGTAGAAATAAAGATATATATACGTCAATGTAAGTAATATAGTCATTTATACCTAGGTTTTTGAACATGATAGGTCAATTATTAGTTTTGAGCGTTATTGTAACATGCTGCATTTGTCAAAACATCAATGTTACTCGACACTTTAATGGAACTGAAAACGTAACACCTTATTACGTACTGAAACCATATATTAACAGTTACGATGTAAATCTAGAGACTCCAATGGCCTTAAGCTTTACCGGAGGTGTTTTAACTTTTGTTATCATAGGTGAGTTACGCGATTTTTGACAAACTATAATATACCATAATGTTTGGCTTATATTTAATAGTGGTAACTAATGCTATATCATTTTTTAGGTAATGTGTTATGGCTTAGAATGTTAACGAGATCCAAATTACCGATGGTTAAGGATGAAAGACAAAGGGTGCCTATGATAGCCATATAAAATTCATACAATGTGTACAAAAGATATACGACAAATAAATAAGAATGTATTAAACTACAAGATCTTGTAGATCAGAAAATCCCTTAATTTGTTTGTTTATTGTTCTTTAATTGTTTAAAACTTAGTGAAACATAATAAATCCTTAGGATTATTCGATGTAAGTTTATTAATTCCAAAGTTTCAACATTTGTACAAAATCATTAATTACAGACCTACACAAAGTTGCAATGTCATCTACTTAGAAACACGTGTATATTCGATTAGGGTGACATCTTCAAATATTAAAATACTCTGTACGATGCTGACATCTAGTGGTAGTTGGATATCACTACATTGATACAAATATATAACATTTATCGAGTATACATATTCAATAATTGTTTAACATTAAACACCGTTGGAATGTAATCATATGATATTGTTTACACGTGTATTGCAATTTAACATTGAAATTGCGAACCTCGATTGAGTAAATTAGCATTTGAGGCTTTTTGAACACCGCATCAATGAGGATTTAAATCGACCTCTTTAAGAAAACTTTAAGACAACTATGTTGTTTTATTTGAAAATTACATGCAGAATTTAAAAAAACCATCAAATAGAATAAATTCTGGTCTTGAATGGTAATATGCAGATCTCCTAAGATCTTTTTTAAATACCTTTCCTAGATTTCAATACTGTTAAGCGATTCCTTAATTAAAACATAAATACAAAGTGAACCGAGAAAGTTGGGAAGATCACATGAATTACATGAGTTTAATTGATTTATATCGGTCAAATTAAATACAATGGTAAATAAGACAGCTATAATTAAGTAGGCAAAGTCTGTATTTAGTCCAACAAACAAGTTTACGCCTACAGGGGTGATATTCATATCATTGTATTCAAATATGTCCTAATAGAGTGTTTAAAATGGCAGCCATTTTGCTTTGTTTTTACGAGGTCTCTTAAGAGCTTTGGCTGAAATACCCGGTACTTTGTACGATGTGGCGCTTCTTTTGTAAATGAACCTAGGTGTATTATCGGTATAGCTAGGCATCCCTATTGCATCATCATCATCACTGGTTGATAGTCCCGCGTCATCATTTTGTTTACTCGAGGTACCTCCCTTAAAGTCGCTATCGGATGGGGCATCCAATT